CCCCCCCGGACTCAGCCACACCGTACCTGCTGGGCCTTTGGCATCACACATGCAGGTACACCGACTGAGCCTCGCTGCTCCAGCGCCGCGGTTATGATAATCGTATACGTTGCAACTGCCTTTTAACTTTGTCGTCGCCAATGGCACGACCGATGCCCTGCGAAGCTGCAAGGACGGGCTTTGCCAAAAGAGCCTTTTTCTGCATCACCGTGCGGCACCACAGCGTCTCTGTTAAGCGACTGAATCTGACAGCGAACTTCCGACGAGACGAGATTCCAATTCCAGAAACGTTGACAATTTCAGCGACCGGAGAGACGAAAGTTACTCCGGCGCCATTTGTCCATTTGTCGTATGGCCATGTATGCCTCACCTTCACGATTGCTTAACTTTTTGTCCCGTTTGCCGACCCTCGTGTTGTGTTGGGGCCTATGTTTTACACTGAATCAGGCACCGTTACGAGCAGCCAAGGCAAATGACATGGGGCAAATCGCTCGACTCGCCTCGTAAACAATGTCCCGTGTCGCTTTTGTGAAGGGCGTTCATGTTGCAATACGACCTGTAACCACACGCCTACCAAGCCCTCGCTAGACCAGCATCTTTTAGCATTTCACATCTCACATTTTCAGCTCACGCTTCCTAGTTTCACGTTTGTCCTTCTTGAGACGAATTGAATTGCCGTTGTGAAAAGTCTGCACCTGCGCCCTTTGTTGCTCCTTCATCGCTTCATTCTTGTGTGGCCCAGGCCTGATTCAGCAGCGGGTTGGGAAGGTGAGGCCTAGACCTCTGACGATTGATGCAGCGGCCCAGAGGCCTGTGGCCAGATCCTTTCAGAGACTCCCAGGATGCTGACGGGGCTGCCGATAGTCTTGGTAGATGGAAGATGCATGCCATATAAAACCCCCCCCCTAACGACTGGTGGTCCAGACACTTAATATTAGAAACTTTTGCAAAATTTTGCAGTGGAAAGAGGCTCGGGGGTGCTGAAAAAAGGGAAAATATTGGCCCAACTTTCGCTCGCTAATGCCGACGCCAGGCGCAGACGGCGGACTCCGCAACCTGTCTCGGGGCAATTGGGCTTGTTGCAAGTACGGGAGCAGAGTTTTCAGAGAAGGTACTCCGTACTCTTCGACAGTAATTATGACATACGTCGTACGAGTAGGCCACTTTCCCGCCCAGCCACGTATTAATTCTTTCGTAACTGAAGCGCGCCAGAGACGCGCGCTGCCCGAGAAAAACTTTTCACTACACCCTCTTTACCCTCTTTACCGCAATACGACGGTGTCAAGGAGAGGTTGTGCGTCGGAAGACCCCGGCCTGTACTACACTTACGCCGTGGTCGCACGTGCAAAGTGAGGTCAGAGGGCTGCAGGAATGGAAAACTCTGATGCAGAATTTGAGTGAAGATTTTTTGCAAAGTTTCATTCGTCCCTTCCGCATCTTCAAGTCTTCAATAGCAACAGCCAAGACCGCTTCCAAGAAGGCTCCCAAGACCGTTTCCAAAGACACGTCTCGGGCGTTTGGTGATATTCTACACTTTTCACGGCTCGCACAACCCTGCCTCGGACATCCACAAACCCAGGCGGGCCTTTTAACCCAACAGCCGCACCGTGCTTGTAGTAGTTAGCTCCGTCTTGTCAAGAGCCTCTCTCTCTCTCCCTCTCCTTCCCCTTCGTTCTCCTCACCTCTTTTTCTTCTTTTGTTTCCCTTGGTCCGTCGTTGGCTACGAAATTTTGCCGCTGCAATCGTATTTGGCCTCGTATTTTTGTATTGTGCATCCTCTTTCTGACTCTTTTTTCGTAGTGACTGTTCTGCGATGCCTGGTGTGAATATTAACGAAGGATACCCCACCCCCCCCCCCAGATCACGAGATCGTTTATCCGCGTGACTGCCTAGCCCGGTACTGCTCAAGATGTGGCTTGAACCGCTATTCAGCCAGTCACGCGAGGGTCGATTACGCACGACTTAAGCTAGGCGGTTTGGTCACCAGACCTGTCTCGGTCCTTCCGCTTTTCACCACAACCGGCATTGAAAAGTCAGACCATGCTCCACGATTTGTATTTTGCATTTTCACCCTACCACGAGTAATACGTCGTACTCAGTATTCGTAATGCTCCGTACTTAATATGCCGCATTTGCTTTTCGTACTCACGTATCGATCTATGGGGCAAGTTGAGATACTATTAAAATGACTGTGCACGGTGTATGAGGGGACCTACATTGGGGTAATGTAGCTTTATTGGCTCCAGCACCAACGTTGGCCACGAGCCAACTCCTAGTCTATTCCCCGAGAGGCTCGTCTTGGATTCCGCTCGGTTGGCGATCGTCGCCGAATCATCGCCGAATCGTCTTCTATCGCCCTTCGCTGTTCGCTTTCGCTTCGTGGCGAGCCTGTCCACGGCCCTTACAAATCATATGTTGTCGTGTCCGTGTCCTTTTTGGCACCATATCCTCCTGCTGTCAACCCGCGCCTCGTTTGCCGGTTTTGCTTTCTTGGCCTCGCGACACAGGCCATTTGTCCCCGGTGTGGTTACAGCCTCCTCGCATCCTTCCCAGCTAAGTTCATAGTCTTCCTTTGGCTTTGTCCGTACCCTGTCACCATCATTCTGCTCCGACCGGCCCGGCCTGCATCTCCGATTCATAAGCAGATGCCACAATGCACTTTCCACAGAGAGTTCCCTTTCGTTCGAAACACCTCTCTGTCTACGACGTATTCCCCAAACTTGGCACCTGAATGCATGACTTATACCTAGTCTTTTCCGAACGGTGCTAGGCAGCTGCGTAGGGGTGGCCAAACAAAGTTTCCTTTTATAATGTGTGCCTGTTAGTCATTCTACTTTGCGACAACCGTTGCTGTGTTGAGCTTTCGCTAGCAGCTTTACAAGGTGAGCAGTCTCAGGTCGCGTCTCCTCCCACCGACCCGTTTGAACACTGCCAGCCGGTGTATTTTGCAGTATCATCGCCATCCCCAGGGCCGTGTTTGGACTGTGATATTCTACCTTTCCTTAGCTCACTCATCAACGCCCTGGTTGCTTTAAACACATGCCGCCAAATGAAGAGCTCTCCGTCGATAGCCGGTCATTTTGTGTTGCTATTATGTCACTTCCATCTTTCGATCCAACCATGCTGCTGTCTACATAGTCCTGCGAATCTGATATTGGATCCGAAAAGCCGTGGTACTGCGGAAAGGCAACACCTCACTCTTCGCCTCCGCTAGTTCCCGGTACCTCCGTGATGTTTTCATGCTTATTTCGTGTGCTTCTCGTGTCTCTCTCTTATTTCCCCTGCCCTACTTGTATTTGTTACCTTATCTACAGACGCCCTTTTTCCTAGCTCCCCCTTTCTTTTCTCGTGGTTCCCCCGGTTCTGCTCGCTCCAACTTTCCATCTTGACGGGGATATTTGACGGGGATATCGGGCGCCAACATGCTTCCATGCATGGAATGGCTCAGAGGCCTGCATTTTCGTGCAGCATTTATTTTCGGCATTGCCGCTAGCGTCAGCCAGTGCTGCGGTAGGAACCGACAAGATTTGACAGTGGGCCCCACTTTGACCTTTGACCCACCCCATTTCCAGTTCCTTTCAGCCTTTTCAACTTCGCCTCCCACAGTTGGCCCGTTGCTTTGAAGTCTTTTGTCATTTTTTGGCAGCATCTCTCATGCCAACAAAGTGATAGTTCTTTGACCATTTTTGCCTCTTAACGAGCCCCCGTCTTTGGCTAGCCCCCGCTATTTCTGTCGCCAATCCACCGTACTGTACTACTGTTCCTGGCTGGAGATCGTGTTCGTGGGCTATCTGAGCTTTTCGCCTGTACCTGCTAAAAGCGGCAGTCTCCGTCTATGGGCCGTCAATATGATTTTATTCGGCTTCCAAGTCTGCCACCTCGGTAGCCGTGATGTTCGCCATTTATATCAGGCTGCCTAGGCCGCTTGCACTCGCACATTTTGACGACCTTCCTTAATAACCTGTGACTGATGGTTGATTTCCTTTGGCGGGTATGAAACAGCCCAGCGTTGATAGATTTTGTTTGTATATTCGTGTGCCTTCTGCTTTCCTCTCATGTGGTTGTTTCTAGTGCCTTTCGCGTCCGTGCAACTCCCCAAATAATCAAACATCGCAGATACAAGCTGTCTCGTTCATACGTGATTTTTTCTGCTGTCGAGTATAACGGTTCTAACTTTTCGCCACCTGCCCCTGTGTTTACCAACTACCGCCACCGCCACCCCCGGATCATGTTGTTGGAATACGGTGATAGTATCTGTCCACTGCCAGAAAGTGATAACCTCGTAAATATACCGACAGTTAATTGTACGATGGCGACTTGGCTGAGGATCTAGACGCTCGACGGGGCGTACTGATGCCGCCGTTTGCATATCAACAAAGCCAGCCGAACATGCGTCGCTTAGTCTTTATGCTTCTTTTCTTAACCTTCTCTCAGATGATGATAAGCTGTCATTGACACAGTTGTTAGTAACTAGAAATGAAGACGAGTGTTGGCCTCGCTACTCATTTTGTCCAGTTTTCCATTTTCGAGGTATTTTATGTATCGCCTTGAAATAGCTTCTTTACTCACCTCGATAAGTCTTTCTGTCAACCCGAAACAGTGCCCGTCTTGCTCGTGAGAGTTGCTGAATGTGCAAGATCTCCACAGACCCCCAAAACCCATATCATCCAGACTCGCTTTGAGCATGTCAGTGGAGTCGAGGACTTGTGCAAATTTGGAATTAGAACTGAGCGTCTGCAGCAACTCATGGGCTGCTTCAAGCGTGGACGAGTTTTGGCAGTGTAGAAGCACCTCGTCTAAGATAGAGGCGATCGGTGCACATCTGGTTTTGTTAGTAAAATAGATCGAGGTTAAAAGTACTAGATCTTACACAGTGCCTGTAGGAATGTTTTCATGTTCGTTTTCTCGTTTTCTTTCGTACCGCTCAATATCATCAAAAGGGAATATCAAGGGTAGCAGTAAGGGACCTACAGATGCAAGATGACGTTGGGCTTCTCTCGCGCCAGGTCGTTTAGCCACAAAAGAGTCCGATTCTGCAAGGCATCCTCAAGATATTGGAAGTCGACAAGCTCCATCGCTGTGTTCAACAACAGGTCTTTCTCCTTCATGGCAGACACATTCTGGATCGCATGCACATGTGCCAGGCTTGGCAGAGACATGGGGCTGATTCCCACATGCCAGAGGCTATCCTTAAACTCTTCCACACTCCCGACGCGCGCTAGGATGAGCGCCAAATATGGCGATCCGCTCATGTCCGCCACCTTCGTTTCCTTCTCGGTTGGTGTCCAGCTGGTCAGCTCAAGGAGTGTAGACAGCACGCGAAGGGCTGTTGACTTTGTCATCGTGTCGGTTAAGCCCCGGACAAGACATGCGCACGCAGCAAAATGAAAGTTCTCGCTATTGAAATGGACGCCGTATGCCTCGTCTAGTGCCAGTGCTGCATCTTCGAGAGGTGCCCGTCCCTGTAGCAAGAACGGTATCATGCGCTCGCCCCGAATCTCACCCGACGAGCTGATGTTGGTCAAAACCGACTCGAGAAACTGGGCCGTGCAATTGAAGAGACCCGGAGGAACTAGCCGCAGCAAGGACATGGCCAGCCAGAAAAGCTGGTAGCCATAGCGTGAAGCCGACGGCAGTTTGGCCATCATTTTCGACAAGGAAGTCACTATGGCAACCATCATGTCGCTGTTGTTGTCGTCACTAAAGCGGCCTATGCTTGTACGGAGGGCAACAAGGACTTGGTACAGGAGATCATCATCAACCTCCTCTCTGGCAAGACATCCCATCACCGTAAATGCACGAGGCTGGATGGCCGGATTGTTTTGAAACGCCGTACTTGCCACTAAGCTCATCCAACGAGCACGCCACGCATTTGCAATGTCGACTGATGGCGCAGCCACCGAGCACAGCTCGAACAAAAGTGCTGCGAGGGATTCTGTTGCAGCAAGTGACGGTCCGACTTCCTGGTTGGTCGATATCGAAGCGCCATCCCGGCCAAATGATGTAGGCGCAAAGTTGGAAAAGAGATCGCTCTTCCCTTCAGACAGCGACTCGAGGGCACCACGAAGCTTGCTGAGCCGGGCTTCGTCGAGACTGAAGGATGTACAGACTGCATGGAGAGAATTGGCTAGAAGACGGTGAACTAGGAAGCGGACATCAGGCGTTCCAATGTTGGCAAGCATCGTGACTATATGGAAGATCTCTGGAAGGTAGAGCTGTGACTGAATCCCGCTATCGAACGATAGTGACACACAAAACTGCAAAAGAACGCATATTTCTGCCCAGACGGCATTGTCGGGCAGGTACTTTGTAGGGCGCAGCGAGGATCGATTGAGTGCTTTTCGGAGGCGAGAAATTATTTTGCCGCGTATTGTAATTGTGCCAATACCCGTCACGATAGATGTTATAATCTCTGCCTGGTCGTCGTGGATGCCAATGGATAGTCCGGTTTTGACAACTTCCTCTATAAATAGGTCCAACAGCGTTTCGTCTTGGTAAATGGCAGGCCATACCGTCTGCTCTAGAATATAGTTCAGTGACGGATCAGACACGGCGACTTCAATCAGCTTTCTGAATATCGCGGATATCTTATCTTTGGCCTTGTCGCTCTCTGCGTCGCCTGCCAAAAGAAAAGATCGAAGACCCGGCAACCAGGGCGCCATGTACGCTAGACTGAGGGGTTTCTGCTCATCTGAGAAGCTGTACCAGCCAACAAAAAACTCGTTCAAAAAGTCCGTTGTAAGTTGAGGTTCTGCTTCTGCAAGCTTTTTGCTAATGTTGATTATGAACTGTGATGGATCCAAAGGCACGGATATTTCTATGTCAAATTTTGGTCAGTGCCCATGCAATTACCAAACAGACAAAGGTGAGGCGACGCCGCTGCTCACCTTTAATGCATAGAAGGCCAGCAGCAGTCGAGAACTTGAATGCCCGGCATAGTGCACCAAGAAGGTTATAGGATGAGAGCCTAAGTGCATGGTCTGCACTCCCAAGATTCGCCAGTGACAGGTTGAGCAGTGTGCCAGGTACGTCTTGTGGGCGAACATGTCTTTCAAACGACTTGAGCGTCCGCGCGTCCTTGCTGTATTTCACCTTGGCGCCCCTTATGGCCTGGAGGATATCTTGCTTTCCGGGACTGGTGAAGTACATTACAATCTTACCATTTTCAGCACGAAGCCCGAACGCTGAGTCGTCATCTGTTTGAATGGACATTGGGGCCTGGTCGATGTCTCCTAATCGAAAAATGTCATTGAAGATGGCATTTAAGCCAAATCCCTGATGGATCTCCTGCTTCTTGGTTGTCGTGATTTGAACAAACTGACTGCCGACCTTGATGGACACGTCGATTTTCCCTCTGGACCGCGAGAGACGGGTGATTTGTTGAAAGACATACCTAGTGTCTCCGACAACACTAAGAGTCTCTTTTGGAATATTGACTTGGCTTAGATGGAAATGCCCTTGCAAGTCCTGCATATTGCTGACAAGGTGGTACTCGACGTTGTCAGGATGGAACACGCTACACTCATTTTTTGCAGCCGCCCGGAGAATACGTCGGAAACATTTTCTATCATGTGTTAGGATAATGCAACGGGAATACAATAAGTACATCTCTTTGTCAAACACCATGATTGGAGGCTTTACCGGAATGTGCTGTTCATGTTGTAAATATACACACGGGACAGCTGGCGAGAGAGCTCTGTGGGCGTAAGGGCCTCAAGTTTCTGAAATAGCTCATCCGGTGGCTCGCTTTGACCGCTGTAGCACGTTGCATCGATGAGGAGACCAAACGGCTTATGCCAAAGACGGCTGGCGATCTGCACATGCGGCAGTGCTTAGTGATTTGATCCTCCCGTTGCAAATCAATAAACCAGCCCTAAAACGACGGAACGCAGTGGCTTACCTTGAGATAACAAAATACTAATGTATCATAGTCGATGGAATCCACGTCGATGTTACGCAAGATGATGCAGATGATTGAAAGACCGTCCTATTACGGTTAGCATCTCTAAGCAGAAACCATCTCGGCATGGTATAATTGTTCAGTAAGGGAGAAGTGGCCCACCTTGCTTTCGCCGCCATCGTACACTGCCCGCGATGTGACAAATGACTCGCTGCTTCTGAAGGCGTTGCGCAGCATGAAGTTCTGAAACTGTGAGTAGGCAGGTGGGTTATTAAGGGTGATCTGTGGCCGGTTCCAGGTGACAGCAAGCGGTGGGGGTCCGAGATTCGTGATCAGATTTCGCAGCGGCTCTAGAACGGGAGAGCGAGCGCGCGGACCTTCTCCAGGTGACCGCACGTGGTCTCGTCGTTCCTGTGATGCTAGCCTTTGTTTGACATGATCCCAATGATCATAAAGAAATCGATGGATAGAGACAGATGCTCCAAAGTCAGTGGCGTCACCTATTGGAGATCCCTCGACTTCGTCAGGTGCAACTGAGATTTTGCGAAGGAACGTCGTTACATCGTAGATATTGTACGATAAAAATTCGTTGAGGGGGAACATGTAAGGTTCCTTTGCACCAAATAGAACGTTGTTTGCAAGGTTTTGAATAATCTTGGCAATGAGCAGCAATCCTCTCCGCATTTCTTTCGACGGAGTTGTCGTCACGAGGCCTTCTACTTCTGGGGCGACGATTGCCGGGCAGAAAAAGCGAAGGAAAATGAAAGCACCAACTGCTGTGTATTTTGCTTCCGGAAATCGTGTCGTGACTGCCGATGAGATAATGTTGCATATTTTGCGGAATGCCCAGGGGATCTTCGACGACGAAGCACTGATATCATCGATGAAAACCTTTGCCACAATCTGGAGCTGGACGGCGTTCTTTGTCAGCTCATCCTGCGATTTCACCCGAGTGGGATCCAGCTCGAAATCAAGGTCTTTCGCCGTCATCATCAATCGCTCAACAACTTTCTGGAGGGTTGCTTTGAGGTAGGCGGAGCCTTTCCACTTCGCGTAAACAGACAGCATTTTTGTCGCAACGCAAGTCCGCCGAAGAAGCTCGGACTCGCTCTCAGTTTCTTCAACCTCGAGCTTTATCACTGCCTCGAGGAGGTCGAATCCCATCCCGCGACTCTCAAAAACATTTAAAAGTGAAATCGTCAGTTCGTCAACTTCTGAGCTGGGGCACACGGCTGCCATGGACGTCGCCAGCGCAGTATCGTTTGTAAGGATGTCAATCAGCTCGTCGTACTTGTCGCCGACAGCCGTGTCTGATAGGTTGCTAAACTCAGTGCCTTGCATGAGGATGTTACATAGCACCCGGACAAACGCCGTACGTATCTCGACATTTTCGTGGTAGCCGATGCTGAGAGAGCGTTTCAAACCAACGTCCAAGTTAGCACTGAGCAAGTTGGACAAAATTGTGATTGCCAGTTCAGATGCTGAAATCTCTTCCCGAGGAGAACTGGCAATGTAGTCCGCTCTGGCAAGCTCGGTTTGCTCAAGGTTGAGTAGAGAAAGAAAACGGTTGAAGTAAGTGTGAAACATGTGGGACTTTAGCTCGCTGGTTCCCGCATCAGACTGGCCATCAGCCGGCTGCAGGGGAAGACGGTAGGTCAGCTCTGCTAGGCATTTCAGACAGGCCTTATCAAGATCTTTTTGGACACGAGTAGCTTCATCTTGTCGGCTCGCCACGTTGCTGCCGTGGACATGGCCAGATGGGGAATGCGGCCGTGCAATCCAGCCAAAAATGATTTCCAGAAGCTGATTTCGAATGCGTACATCATCGCGCAAGTTCAGATGTTCTTTTCTCTTCGTCACGGCCTCGCATAGCTGACAGGTTTTGATCTTCACACGCAAATTGTTCGGCGAGTCCGGTGTCGTATCCAGGAACTTGGCGAAGTTGAGAGTCAGTGCCCCGAGATGAACAGACGAAGCGGCGCCGAGATCCGACGGTGAGTCTAGCCGCTCGATCAACGCTCGAAGAAGTGACACAGACTGCTCTGCAAAAGCAACCTCGCCTTCTAGACTCCTTGATGTTTGCTCCAGGACACCTGTAAAAAGAATATCGAGCTCGGATTCCAGGGTTTTGAACAGAGCTTGGTACAGCGTTGGCGAAATCTCGGACGACAAAACCTCCCGCATAGTCTCACGGACCCGAACGTTCACAGTCGCCAAGAGCTTTATGCCCAGTCTCAGAAATCGACTCAATAGAGCTTCATCTGAATTTTCGGAGGACGTTCTGTTTATCCATCGTAGGCCGCTGATAGTTGGCTCTTCGAGCATGGACGCTTGGTCAGGCGTGCAGATGCCACCGAGGGATGCAAGAAACCCAGAGTAGTTTCGCCATTCAACAAGTGTTTTTTCGGGAAGTGCATCTGCCTGCGTCGTTGAAACTTCTTTGGAAAGATGAAGCCATTTATCGAAAGCAATTTCCCATGCATTGATGATGCCGCTACTTGGGTACTGCATTTTCTTCAAGAGGCCGTTCACTCGTCTTTGAAAGGCAACCAGCCCTGTGAAGCGAAACTCTTTCGACCCAATTTCACGGAAGACATCTCCATTTCTTAGGAGAGTCGAGGATGACTTTGCACTCTTGGATGCGGTATCTATAATACGGCACTCCTCAAGGAACTGCGCAATGCATGAGGTCACAAGCTGGCATGTCTCAATGTCTGAAGAGCAGAGCGAGACTAAAAACAGAGTCTCGAGTTTTGTTGAGCAGGCCGTTCGTTCAGGGACCTCCTCGGACAATTCTGACAACTCCTGGATCTAGTCAGAATCAAAAACCATGCAAAAGGACACTGTCATTCCGGTGACATACAGTTATGGATCTGAGAAGTAGGAGGCGAGACTCCAAATAGCCATGGATGGTCTTTAGGCCTACATCTAATCTAAACGGGCTGATTTTGTCGCACATCGATGTCAAAACGATCGACCTGATTTCAAACCCAAAATAGAAACGGTTAGCAAACAAAAGTACCAGAGAAGAGAGCTAGCCGTATGCACAACAAATCACTCAGTATCTCGGGGAAAAGCATACGTGACCTTCCAAAAATTCGCCTTGAATCTTTGTGTTGCCAATCTTGACGTTTCTCCATAACGGGAAACGGTCTCTTCCGTAAACAGATGGGAAGCAACACTCATTGACAGACGCCTGATGGATTCCTCCGATACGACCATACAGGCCATAAACGACTCGAAGTTGTTTTGGAAGAAGAGGTCTCCTTCGTCAGGGTCGCTAGGCTCTCCTTGAAACAACGTCATTGGTGATGCGTTTATAAACTCGAGGATACTGCACATCATTGGGACAGGAACACCATAATCGGCAGACTTGTGTTTCGAAACTGAAGCGGTAGGGTAGGTGCTGGTCAATTGGGATGACATAGTCTGGAACTCCATTAGCCCACGAGCTTTGATAAATTTTCAACACCGCACGATCTGATTCATAATATGGACGTTAGGAAACCTAGCAAACTCACCCTCATTTGGGACTGCACAAAGGCAGACACCGATCTGAAGAGTCGCTCGTATTTTTCGGAGTTGTCAAGTCTGGCAAAGTGCGAACATGCCTGAATAACTGCGACCTTGAAGGATGGTGGCGCAGATGCTACAAGGCAATTAATGGCAAGAGACTCTACGCACTTCTCAAAGTTCAGGTGCGTCAAACTGACAAAAGCGGCTGTAAGCAGATCTTGATCAAAAAGAGTGATCTCGGAAGTAATTGGTGCCCGACGAAAAAGAGCTTCGTGAACCTCATCCTGGAAATCCATGGCGTAACTCATGAGAGCCGAATCGCTCTCTGCATCAAAGTGGCGTGCTACACGGAGGAGAGATACTAGACAGTAGGCCGCCTGTTCGTTTTTGTTTCGTAGCATTTTGCGCAAACCCTCCAAGTATGCCACCTTTTTGGCCACACCGCCGCCCTTTGCCTCTCGCATGTTGCTTGCTACCTCGAATACGTCTGGAAGCAAAAAGAGAAGGCTCGTTTGTAAAGGGTACAAAAGCGCTTTGCGGCGGGCGTTGTCTCCTACTGTTTGAGCCATGTCGAATAGTGTTTCCGGAGTACCATCAACTCGGAGGTGCATGACATGCAACTCGACAAACTCATCGGGAAATCTTTCAATCCATCGAACGATCAATAAGGGTGTCGAGATGGCGATACAGTTCTGGTATTGTTTGCGGAAATGGAGAAAGCTCGAACAAACTTCCTGTAGGACGTGGCCTAATCTCTGGCGGTCAACCCAAAAGTCGGAAAGGAGTCGTAGAATGACCAGGGACGATCTCTCGTCATCGGAATTGACAAGACTTTGAGGAGGTGGGGCCTGAGCCGATAGAACAGTTCTGACTTTGTGGAAAACGCTCTTCAGGTATTCCAGTGATGGTTTCCAGGCGGACGCCGTCACATATTCCACAATCGTCTTGACATGGCGCTCAATTTCCGAGACACGAGAGTCCATCATCTGTGTAGTTCCGACCACATCATCGGATCGTGAAGACACTGGCGTTTTTGGGGCCTCGCTTGAGGTACCGGACACTGACAAGTTCTCAGCCGTGTAGTCGTCAAGAATGGTCTTTGCCGATAGTAGTTGACCATCTGGCATGGGGTTCATGAACATCTTGATCACTTCGAAGATACGCCGGACCAGGGCGGTTTCAAGAGTAATGGGTGGGGGTGATTTGGCCCGGCGCCACTTCGTTGAGACGCCCTCATCTGACTCCGCGTCTGTAGCAACCACCGATGCGCCCCAGTGGCTTGAGCAGCAGTCGGCGAGCAGAGCAAGTACGTACAGCTCAGATAAAAGCACATGGGGCGGGTGAGAGGCGGCTATTTTGTTGTAAGGGCGTGCGACATCTTCGAGCAGCGATAGCAGGGTGTCGAGGACGATAACTATGGAGGAAGCACTGACTTTCACAAGGGTCGTACGTGTGATTGCAACAATCTCATCGTGAAAGAGACCATCGCCGTGGGTTCCGGTTCGGTGGGGTAAGCGGGTAGTGAGCCGCTCAACGAGACAGCCAACCAAGCCAGCGTCGCCGTTCATCTTGCAGATAATAGCAGGACCGGTGTACTGTGGCCGCAAAGCAGCACAGCTAAAACAGCGACCAGTGTTACTAGCATTCGGAGCCGACCATGGCAAAGGGGTCTATCACAGAGTGTGTGCGGTCCAAGAGAGGTGATTAGCCCTGTATGTGAAATGAGACGACGAATTAGCAAAGGCTACAGAAAGGGCCGAGGTAATTAATCCGCGATGCTCGTTGCCACGAACATTGCAGGCTGTGGATCTGGAAAGAGTTGGCCGGGGAGCATACTGGAACTGGAGGCACAAAAAAGATACCGGTTGCAATCGTGGATTTCGGGGTTCCTAGGGTACTTTCTTAAAAACAACTTGGCTGCCACAGGTGGGTGCGATTGCTCTTGACGTGGCGATGATCTGAATACAGCCTTTCGATGATACGGATGCTCATGATGTAAATTCGCTGGGCTCTCCACAAGGCCTGGCTGCCCCTGGCGGTAACTACTTTAATTATCCCTTTGAAGTAAGGGGTTTTAATATGGTTTATAGCGATATGCTGTATCAGACCACCCAAGAGCGGCGCGGGGCGCTTGGACCCCCGCACTTCTTATCGCAGTGCGGGCTATCATTCGTCTCTTTCTGTAAACCAGGGAAGAGCTTATTCTGTACTGACTAACTCTCTATTTCTGTCCTGTAGGTCGCTTGTACCCTCAAGCTGAAGAAAGTAATCGCGTCCACATCTCGGTCAAGTACCACCAACAAAATAAAACCCGAAGCAGTAAAGTTGGTCAATACAACCTGGCGATTCACTATAGCGGGGAACAAGGTTTTGTAAAACACGACCGATTTTATTTTTGGCAGACAAACGCGAACTAAAAAAGGAAAAAGAAATAACATTAAAATAACTCACTAAATGCATCGAATAAACCACGACTGGCCCTGAACTTCCGAGAACGCCAGCTTCTATAGCCGGTGTCGTGCTGGGAAAGCCGATCTGGTACGGAATCCTCGTAAATCCACCGTAGTTGTTCACCTACGGTAGCCGCCGCGAGAGTTGCTGTAACCCTCGGAGCGGTTGTCACTCGCCCTTGGCCGTTGGCCCCGGCCAGGAGGAGGGCGATATGACTGCTGCCCATAGGACTGCTGATTGTAGCTTCCAGGTGGTGGGGGTAAGTCGTAGCGATTTTGGTAACCTTGGTTGTGGCTGTCGTTACCGTAACTACCGCCGCCGTAACCTCCATTGTCGTAACCACCCACATATCTGCCTCCACGACCACTGTAGCCACCATTATTGTAATCACCGTCATTGTACCTCCCAAAGTTCATAGGGGTTGATGAAGGCGGTGGAGGGGGCCGACCAGAACCAAACCCGGCTTGGCCGGGTACTGGGGGGGCCCAAGATTGATATGACGCTCCATGATATGAGCCTCGTCCGCTCTGGCCGTTCCCCGGGTGATACGGTGGGTGATCACGACCGTTCTGGTGGCCGCCATAATTGTTGTGCTGGTGTCTTCCGCCCGAATCATGCCACGGCCGGCCATTGTTGCTATTGCTATGGTAGCTATTGTGCGGCCCGCCTCCATGATTACGGCCAGACCTATTGTTGAGCAATGCCTCCTTGTCGCCGCGGTTGATAACGGGCGTTGGAAGCTTAACCCCGCGTAGGAGCATGGACTTGTGCTCGTGTGGCGTGGACAGCAGTTCAAAGTTGACACTATAATGTTAGTCGATACAACAAACGGGCTTAATATGGAAAGCAGTGACATACCTTAAAGATCTGTCATATTCAATGTCGGGAAGGGCCTTTCGCTCCAACGGGTAGGTCAATGAGCCGTGTGGGATATAATCATCTATTTTCTCGATGTTTCCGGCGATTCCGCCAGATACCAGAGGATCCAGCTTGTACTTGAGTGGTCCTTGTCGTTTCGAGTAGAAATTTGAAGTCACCTCGTCGTATAACGCCGTGTCTGCGTCAGACAGCAGCATAACAATCTTGCCAATACCGTTACGGATTTTGTCTGCAGGACTTAGAAGCGGGTACCGTTTTTCTATGGCAGCAAGTAAACGTGCCATGTCAATGAAAGGTAGTAGTGCTACCCCCTGCCATGCAAACTTTTTGCCATTGAGATCGAGGTCGAATTCTTCTGGATAGAAATCGATGATTTCGCTGTCTTCGTTCAGCATGAGGTCGTGAAAAACTTCAGGGATGGCATGGCGAGAGGCTGCTGGAAGAACGCTCATGAGTTGCTCGAATGGTTTCGAGATGCGGCCCTTCTCGAAGTGAAGCTCCAGCCTGGACAGATCCACAAAGTCGGCAGCGAATGGTGCGTAATGATAGGGATAGTACCATTCCCAAGACGGGCATCCCTGGAAATAGTACAAAAGAACCCAGGCTAGGCCTTCCACATAGGCGCGAGCAACACCGTGGCGGAACTCGATGTCTTTTGGGTCGACCTGAAACTTCTGTTCGTAGTAACGGTCTGCATATCCTTCTTCCCACATCCGAACAGTATCCACAGACCCTTCCACAGGCAGCTTCGTGGCCGGCGTACTCGTCTCACTGGATTGTGGAGTGCTCTTGACGCTATCTTCAATGTCATCGGCCTTGCGTTTACCAAGGGCGGTCCGTTGATCTGCGTCTTTCTCATTTGTAGATGCGGCGGTATCGTTTGTATTGGTCGTAGTTTGCGCGGTACGATTTTGCATGCGGCTCTTCAGAACGCTGGCGGCGCTTTTGTTCGCTACGTTCGCATCGGTTGCTGGTCTACCGTTCACGACCACGTCGTGAGTAATAGTCTTTGAGGTTTCGGGTGTGAAAGTAGCAATAGGGCGCAAATTCAAGCCGGCGGTGCCCTCTGCAAAGACACTATCACCCCCCAAGCTTCGGGCAGTGTTACGAGTGTCGTTGCGGTTCTTCCCTTGTTCTTGGTGAAGTTTGCGTCGTTTGTTGTTTTCTTCTCTTCGATCTTCTTGTTGTTTTCTGCGCCGGAAAATACTGTCCTCCTGTTTGGCAAGTCCGCTCATGATGACTTGAGCGCGTCTCAAATCGACATGCCCGTCTTTTGTAATATAGCCGTTCATGAGCGGTAAGTTCTCTTTCCAAAGCGCCGTCAGTGTATTAATGCCGTTCTCGCGGATTTCAAGCGCAGGAAGATGAGGAAGGAAATCATTGCCCACGAAACAGCACAAGAAAATCCAGTCGTCAATGGCACGCTCCAAATCCCATCGGAAAGGAAGATTGGGAACATCAAGTTCGACAGCGAGATATTCTCGCAAAACAGATACATGAAGCCAGATGAATGGCTTCTGAGTGTGTGAGGTGTCTTTTTCGTCAAACTCGCCATCTTTTTCCTTCGCCTGGCCCCTGCATGCGCTTGCTTCATGGCCCTTTTGTCCACAAAGTTTGCAAAGACGCGCCTTGCTGTCCTGGAAAAATACGTCCTCCCGTAAAACTCGAAAGTACGGCTCATGTGTGGCGAGACTTAGCATGATGAGATCCGCATCCAACCCATAGATGACATGACGAGTATTTGGATCGTGGTTGGGTGACGCCCGTTGAGCGCGAACAAAGTCCATAATTTTGTGCTCACCCTCACCTGGCACGCTTGCATCCGAGATGATGATTTTCATCTTGGACCAACCCGGATCTGTGTTCAGCTTGTAGGCGCACCAGTATCGTAGGCTGGCAGCCAAAATGTCCATGAAAGGGGTACCCGGTGTGATAGAGTTCGAGTCGAACGCCTTTTTTGACACGACTTCGAGAGACGCTTCAGACAGGCTACCACCGTTTTGCTGTTTCAGTAGTTTCAAAAGCTCCTCCTTGTCCTCTTCCTTTTCCTTTGCCTCCTGGGCGGACCGAAAACGACGCGAGCGCTGCTGATTCATCTTGGCGCGAGGTGCAACACCGTCTGGATGAAACACATAAGTTAGATCTCTATATCAAAGTAAAAGGAACATGTGGGCCTGTAAATTAAACGTACCGACGGCAATCATCAACAACTTGCGGGGCCGGACCATATTGACGACCCGGTCTGTGTATTTGAAAATTTCCAACATCATCTCCTCTTCATCTGCTGGCGGGGGGCGGTCTTCCGGATGAGAGCAAGGGTGCACGATGCCGTTCATGTCCAAATACAGGTTGTCGAATTCATCCCCGTTCGGGTTCGGCCCCGTTGTATCGACGGGTATGACGACACCGTCGTCCATTTCTTTCGGTGTTTCTTCTACCACCGGGGAGATGATCTTCGGGTATTTGCTCGAGAGCCATCGGAACGCAGCCGGGATACCCATTCTTAGATATGGGCTGGGGTGGGGTTTTCGGTAATATAAAAGAGGGATTGGAACTAATATTGTTGTACCGCACACCGCAATACTGTACGTGGCGTGTTAACACAAGGTATTGTTTTGATGAATCGCTGGTTTGGATCATTGGTGATTATGTCGTTGCTTCCTAACAATTGGGGGCTAGTGTATTATAGGGATCGTAGTTCGAATAGATTTTCTTAGTTAAGGGAAGTTGCAGGCTGCGCGGAAAGGTTGCGTTGTGCGGTCACGGCTTTGTCCAAAGATGTGTCGAAAGAAAGTGAAAGATATCGCAACTGCCGTCTTTTTATTTGTCCTCGTAACTTTTATGGGGCCTCCGTGACGGAAAGCGATGGCAACGAAATGAGTTGCATGAAACTGAAAGCCACGTCCTGTTGTCGTGATGTTCTGGGTTTGATAAAATGCCTAAAAAACTTTAGGCTTTCGAAGGCATCCAGTGTCGCGTCGTTGACTGCCTTTGAATTTTCGGGTCGCGCACCGTTATATTGTACTGACTAAGCTACTGGCTAGTATAATATGATGATAAAACCCGATTTTCTACGATAAGAATCGTTTTATCGGGGCACTACATAGCTCTACCGCAAAATGAATGTTTCGTTCGTTAAGTATGTCCTACGAGCAATACTCCGCAATACACATGCCAAATATCTAAACTAAATGATGGATGTTGACTCTAAGCAGCAAACACCACGAAGCTAGCAATCACAAGACTCATCCACAGCCACAACAACTGCGGCAAGGCTATTCGAGCTCCGACAATAATCCTCCCCAAATGGGAATGAAATTGGCAGATTTTAGCAGACAAAAAAAAACACTGGAATGGAAGTACAGCCGTGATCTGGCTGAAGCGTGCAACAAACCAACCTTGACAAGGCAACCGCGTCTTGGACGCCTCGCTTCGCTGTCATTGTCGCTACCGCCATGTTCTCTATTGCCACTGCTCCGGCCAAGCAATCGGTCGGTGAAACAATATCTGTTTTAAGCGGCCGATTAAGTTCGGCGACTCTTTTGGAAGACCGACGAGCTGCGATTCTAGGCCTTCGGAGCTTTGCGAAAGAGTATCCGGCATCAGTAGCTTCTGGAGCCTTGCGCAGCTTGATCGGAAGTCTTTCAAAAGATGGCGAGGATGTAGATACGGTCAAGGTGGTCCTTGAGACCTTGCTGATGCTTTTCAACCCGAATGAAACCAGCCTAGAAGCATCAGACGATATTGCTCTTTGGCTTGCAGACGAATTCACCCAGAGGCTCGAAAACATCACGTTGCTCCTAGACTTCCTCGAGACTAGCGATTTCTACTCGCGACTTTACTGCTTGCAGCTTCTTTCGGCTATCCTAGCCGCCCGAACCGACCGAACGGAAGAGTGTATTTTCACTGCTCCTCTCGGAATCTCGCGACTCGTTGCCATTCTAGACGACCAGCGCGATGTGATTCGCAACGAAGCAATCGCGTTGCTGACATATCTGACGCCAACTTCGACGGAGATTCAAAAACTTGTTGCATTCGAGAATGCATTTGAGCGACTCTTCAAAATCATCGAGGAAGAAGGAGCCGTCTTGGATGGCGGCAGGGCTGTCGAAGACTGTCTTATTCTGCTAGCCAACCTTCTCCGGCTCAACGCACACAACCAAACGCTGTTTCGAGAATCTCTATGCACAGCCCAGCTTGCGCGACTTCTGAAAGATGTTGGGTCTCCCAATGACCAGGACGGCGAACTAGCAGACTGGACATTGGCACAACGGAACCGAAATATATACGCTTTACTGGCCGTGATCCGGCTATTCCTCGTTCAAGGTGCTTCTGGAATCGTGCAGAACCAGGCAGAGTTTTGGCGGCACGGGGTTCTATACCATGCCTTACAGCTGTCTTTCAACGATTACTTCGAGAACCAAATTCGTGCAGAGGTGAGTTCACCCATGCACAGGCGTTAAGAGCATCCCTGCTGGTCGATGTCCACGGCCAAGCCCAGCTGACAGTTTAAATTGTGTTTAGGCATTGTCGACATGCGCGGCAGTTATTCGAGGAAATGCTACTCTTCAAGAGAATTTTGCGCAACTCCGTGTCCCATCGCCAACAACAAACAACAACCACGCAGCCTCTAAAGCAAGCGACGAAAAAGCACATGCAAATGGCACTCACACTGAGGTGTATGTGATCGACGGTCTTCTTGACTTAACTTTGGGTGTGCCCTCGCCGCAGTTTTTCGATGTCCGAATGGCTGCTTGTGAATGTCTTAAAGCATACTTCTTTAATCATGAGGTTGCTCGACTGCACTTTTTGCAGCGAGCTATTGACGGGCACAATTCAGGTGCTGACGAAACAGCCAATGTATTAACGACACTACTGCGATCCCCTGCACATTCTTCGTCCAGCGATCCCTATCGCAACTGGTTTGCGTCAGTGATTATGTTTCACCTGGTTAACGAAAATCCAAGAGCCAAGGCTCTTGTGATGGCTGTGACAGAGGGAGATGAGGCAAGTGGCGAGGAAGTCGTCACTAGCATACAGACTACTGCGGCACACCTTTTAAGCAGTGTGAACAGGGGAGACGATGAGCGTGTTGTGATTGGCTACTTTATGCTGCTGCTTTCATGGCTCTTCGAGGACTTGGAGGGTGTCAATGACTTTCTAGGGGAAGGGAGCAATCTACAAGGATTGATCCAAGTGGTGGTCAAAAACACCAGCAACGAAATTGCTATTCAAGGGCTTGCGGCTCTACTCTTGGGCGTTCTCTATGAGTTTTCCACCAAGGACTCGTCTATTCCGAGGAAAAAGCTGCACGAGATTTTGATGTCGAGAATGGGCCGCGATCGGTACATCAACAAGCTCAATACTCTCCGAGCGTACTCACAACTTCGTGATTTCGAGGTAATACCCCAAAGGCTGGATCCGCAGACAGACGAGAAGCTTCCCAGTGTGTTTTTTGATGGCGCTTTTGTCGACTTTTTCAAAGACAATTACAGTAGGCTGCTGCGCGCCATTGATAAAGACCCAAACATGGAAATTTCGTTTGTGTCGAACGGAGTTCAACAGGGCATCTCTCGTGAGTTGGTTGACTCTCTGCGTGCTGAACTTGGCGATAAGGACCGAACACTGCGCGAAGCTCAAGACAGAATATCCGCCCTGGAAAATGCTCTCGGCCAAGAGAGGGCAGAACACAAGAAATCGAAGGATGAAGCGTTCTCTGACCTTGGCAAAGCCAAAGCGGCACATGATATGGCTGTTCGTAAGCATGAGGAAATCTTACGGTAAGTGCTGGCGATAGCTGCCTCGAAAGATTTCTTGGAACGAGGTTGCAGAAGCTAACTATTTTCGTCAACTTCCATCTTGCAGACAAGCCCGCATAGAGCACCAGACAAGCCGGGCTGACCTGGTGCGTCAAATGGAGGAAGCGCAAAAGGCTTCACAGGCCGAGATGGCACGCGTGCAACGTCGGCTTGAGGCGCAATTGGCAGATCTTCGAGCAACGGGGAGCCGGTTGGAAGTGGATTTGTTAAAGGTTTGTCACTGTATTGCCAATATTTGGCAAGGTGGTAGATGTGTTATCTACAACAACCTGGAAACTGACAATTTGGTTAGGCAAACAAGAGCAAATCACAAGAGCTTCAGGCTGCTCACGATAAGTTCAACGTGCAGAAAAACGACATGGAGACTGTAGCCGCCGAGTTAAGGAGGAAAGTCAAAGACCTCGAGGCCAAACTGGCCGCAGCGAGCATACAAGAAGCCGAGCTTCGGGAAATGATTGAGGCCGCCGAAGAGGATAACATGAACACTCGTGAGAAGCTGCAGGCCGCTGAAAAGGACGTTGTTCAGACCCGCGAGAAGCTGCAAGCCGCCGAGAAAAGGCTTAAAGAAGTACGTTCCCACCATCCCCAAACATTTGGGCGCGGCTTCCGCTTTTTAACACTCCAACTGTACATGTCTAATGAAATTTTAGGCGGAAGACGCACTACAAGCAACCCGTGAAGAAAAGAAGGCGACGCAAACCGAGTTGGATGACTTATTAATGGTATTTGCTGACCTCGAAGAAAAGTCGGCAGGCTACAAGGTGCGTTAACTATTATTGTGATGACTTGCAAAGAATCGCTCTGCCTTTTTGCTGTTTGCAGTCAAGTCCATGATAGACTGCTGACCGCTGACATTATTTCTTGTTCACTGCAGGCTCGTTTACGCCAACATGGCGAGTCATTATCCGATGATGAGGATGGCTATGAGGACGAGGAAGACGACGAGGACGAGGATGAGGGTGAGGGCGAAGATGACGACCTCAAGGACGATGACGTTGACTGAGATAATTTGAGATACTTGTATTCCAAGTACCATGCGCTTTAATAATAATTGATAGGAAGTGACGTGATCACTAGACGCTACATGGAGATCACACATAAAACTTCAGAATATAAGCCTGGGTAGACCGGTGTACCTTGGTAAGCTTTTATTTTATTTTTATTTTATTTTTTTAAAAAAAAAACAGTGAGGGACGCGGAGAGATTGGCGGGGAATAAGTTGCAGCAGAATACATGAAGGTCGAGACGCTAGTGGCGGGCTGCATGCTGTTTGGCTACTTCGCTCACAGGAAAGAAAATTCAAGCCTTTCCCCACAAAGAGCTCAAAAAGTACATAAAGTAAATTTGCAAACTGCGATAAAGTCAGGCAAACCAGTTGTAGTTGCCCACATATTACCTTTCCTATAAATTCTTGCTTCAGGCTATTTCTCATAAATTCATATACGCACAATGTCGGAGCGTGAATTCCAGAGCAGCTCCGAGTCTTCGGACGAAGAAGGATGGCTCGACGCCAACCCCGAGGATGACGAGGAACCTCAGTTAGTTATCTCATTACTAGATGACCGTGTGTTCCAAGATGCTGCTTCCATGATCGCCCACTGCAAGGAAGAGCACAACTTTGACTTTCTAGCCATCCGCAATCGGCTGGGTCTTGACTTTTACGGCAGTGTGAAACTCATCAATTACAGTGAGTCTGGTCAAGGCCCATCAAAAATGACGAGGGTTCGTTAAGGAGATATCCTAACTTTGTTTATAGTTCGCCAGCGGGTGTACGAAAAAGCTGCTCTCCCAGCCGAGATTTCAGAGGAAGACTTTTCCAGCGACGTGTATCTCCGGCCCGTTCTTGAGGATGATGCCCTTATCCTAGCCCTGGACAGTCTACCCAAATCCCAGGATCAACCTGTCGCTGGTGAAAAACAAAACGCCGCCGACTCTGAGACAACGGCGGCGACCAATCTTCAGAAAAAAAATGACCAACTTCAGTCCGAGTTAGAAAGCTTGGCCAAACAGTTCGAGAACTACCGGTTGGCCGTCCAGAAGACTCTTGACCAGCGCTGGGGCATGGACGAGGATACGCAAAAGGGTGCCAATGTCGCGAAGCTACTTAACACACCTGACAACGCGAAGGCGACCTCGGAGTCACAGAAGAGGTGTGAAGGCGAAGTGCCCTCCTCGGGAGGCACGGACTATTACTTCGAGTCCTACTCCCACAGCGGTAAAAACCACTTCCCTTCACGGGACGGCGCGCACAACATTCTGCCAATGTGTGCCCCTGCTGACCGCACTGTACGAATTTGTAGACATTCATGAAACCATGCTCAAGGATACGATCAGGACGGACGCGTACCGCGATTTCATATATGCAAACAAGGATTTATTCGCCGGAAAAACAGTCCTTGATATCGGCTGCGGTACAGGTATGCAAAGGCGGCCCATGTATGGATTATGATATCCTTTGGGCTGTTTCTCATGACTTTCCTCCATTCCGAGTTGCTCTCTCATTTCTGTTTTCTGACCTTTCTGCCCTGCGTCAGGTATTTTGAGCATGTTTTGTGCCAAGGCTGGTGCGAAACTCGTCGTCGCAGTGGATAGGTCGGAAATTATCGACAAGGCGCGAGAGAACATCTTCCACAACGGCCTGGCTAACCAGGTTACTTGCCTCAAGGGCCTTATCGAGGAGGTGACGTTGCCCGTCGACAAGGTGGATGTCATCGTCAGTGAGTGGATGGGCTATGCTTTGCTGTACGAGGCTATGCTGCCGAGTGTCCTCTACGCCCGCGACAAGTATTTGAAACCGGACGGCTTGCTGGTGCCGAGTCACGCCTCTTTATTTTTGGCCCCAGTCAGCGACTCGGAGTACATTTGCGACAACATCACGTTTTGGAGAGACGTGTACGGCTTTGATATGAAGGCCATGCAGGCAGGCATTTATAACGATGCCCGGATGCTGGTTATGCCGGAAAAGACCATCGCAGGCACGACGAGTATGTTTAAGCATCTTGACCTCCATACCATCCAGGTTGAGGACCTCGTCTTCACCGCGAGCTGGAAATCGGAGCTTTTCAAAGACGCCGAGTCCCTGGACGGATTCTTGGTTTGGTTTGACATCTACTTTGGCACATCTCGCACGGTGCAGATAGAGCCTGTCGACGCCAGTTCCCAGAAATGGATCGGTGGAGGGAAACAACGCGTCGCCTTCACAACGGGACCTTTTGGTAAAGCGACCCACTGGATGCAGTGTTTGCTTTTGAACAAGGCACACTCCAAGCTTTTAACAGCGGCAGACGGCCGCGCCATAAATGGTGAGCTCTCATTTCTTACGGCGGACGACAACCCACGTGCCTTAACGTTGCGTGTTATGTGGACGCGGGATGCGAAACAGCAGCAGCAATCGTGGTCATTGAGATAACGAATCATCTTGGGACTGCGTTTCTAGCACACGTTGACTACGGTCCTGACAAGTGGACAAAATAATGATGTAACGGATTTTGTAAAAAGCCTGAACCTTCGATTTTGTCTAACAAACGATATAAAACATTTGTATATAAAGAAAAGCAAATTTACAAATCAAGCTCCCATATCATTCGCTGTACTATAACTCTTATCCTGGATTAGGTATTAATACTGGCCTCGCAAGGGGGAGTTGTCATTGAATAGGGGCCTGAGGATTCTTTCTGAGTAAGAGCTTCAACATGTCCTGGAATTCACGCTCGGATTGTACAATTCGACGAAGCCTAAACACGCTATCCTCATCGATGAGGAACACCTGCCGTTTGTAAGAACAGATTCACAACGCTGAAGACGCCTTCGCCAAGGATGAATCCCTAAAGGTTGGTCATTAGAATGTACACGTCGTCATGAAAAGCCAACCGCTAACCAATATAGCGTGTAAAAGGACCTACCGACGCAAGCACAATGGCTCTTGTTTCGTTGCGGCTAGAAATTCTCCAATACAGAGCGATCAACCCTCCCACGCTACGGGCCAGTGTGAACGATGGCACGTTGTACATGCCTATCAAATGCGTTAGAACTTGACACTTTCATGCACAAATATATACAAGGGGAAACAGGAGGGGCGGGGGGTTCGGAGAGATAAACGTGCGCCACCACACAGCAGTTTCGTACCGACAGCGACAGCGATTCCGCCAGGGATGTAGGCATGCCATGATTTTTCGGCAGTCCGTATTCTCAAGAATGTAATCGCCGCGAAAAAAAGAGCAGAGCCAATAGCCCACTCGCCGGCCAGCGCAGGAAGGCCCTTGCCTGTCACAAGGCGTGCGGTAAAGATCCACACATAACCGGTCGGTATCTGAAAAAGATTGGAGGGAATCTCATACACTCTGCGAAAATTGTTAGTGGATGTCCATAGAACAGCCCAGAGGGTATTACAAAAACACGGCTTGAGGGGAGGCAATGGGAATAATGACTGGTGGTTAATAAACTGACGATGTGTAAAGCTTATACAAGCAAGCACTGACAACTGCGCCGACACTTGTTCCAATAACCTGGCCCCAAAATTGTGCCGTCGGTGCGGCACCAATGAGATGACCGGTTTTAAGGTCTTGCATGAGCTCACCGGCTTGTAGAGCACCCTGTACAATGTCAGAGAAGTGTCTGCTGTAAGTTGTGCGGCAAGTAATAATGCTGTTTGAGGATTATCAATAATTTAGCTTACAGCTTCGGACACGGCACCTGCGACTAGGTTAATAAGAACACTGCTTTTGTGTGACCTTGGAATGATCAACGCGAAGAAAAGCTGAGTGAGTTTGGAAATGCCAGAAACAGGATTTAAATCCGTCTAAATTATGTTAGAAAAAAAAGACCAGATTGAGCAGATGAAGAAGGAAATGAAGTCGTGATGTGGCCTATCTCACCTCGCCGAGGGCCCTGACGCCCATGACACTGAGAACGAGTGCCATCGTAATAGAAATTATAGTCGCATAGAAAGGCACAAGTGTGCCAAAAGTAATGCGAATACAAGCAACACAGAAGACAATAGACAGAACCAGGCCAATCGCAACTGTCTTCACACCAATATGTTGATCTGGTGGGGCGTCCCTTTCTAGGATGTCATCGTCGGGCTGTCCGTCGATACTTCCTTGGTGTTCGTCTTCGTTTTCGTCACTTGGGCCTGCTACAGACGTTGTGAATTCAGAGAGGGGACTTGTCGGTATCGACACCTCCTCCGGTACAGTATCTGAGCCTCGAATGGCCGTGTAGCCAGAGGTAAGTTTCTTCTGAAAAGGCCACTGGGAAATACTCGAGGGCAGTCGACTTGCAATGGCTGCATGTATCTCAGGTTGAAACTGAAAAGCAGAACGAATGGCAACATGACCGAGACTGACAATGCCGTCGGCCAGCATAATGGCAATGGAAATCCATACAATCCATCCCTTGCTGCCCGTCTCCCAATCCTCTGTGGGACCAGGTGCCCAGCCGCGGTACTTTGCCAGAGGAGACAAGACCGCCCAGCCCATTATAGCCCCTAAAAGCATATGCATAGTGGTTGCCGGACCCATGATAACGCCCTGGCCAATGTAGGCAAGGCTCGGGTTGAAAGTCCAGAGCCACGTGGCAGCGGCTGTCGACCCAAATATGGGCACGTCCCGGATAGCAGGAAAGAAGTATGTGGCAAGGGTAAAAAGTCCGGAAATAAGAAAGCATACGAGGAGGAGGCGCAGGTTGGCCCGCCACTCCTCACGACGGCGTATCTCGAGTTCGGAGACAGGGTTGTTGCCAATCGTAATATCGTCAGCTCTAGAGCCAGCCACGATAGGTGAAGAAATGGCTGGCGTTGGGGCCGGGGCCGGGGCCGGGGCCGGGACATTGTCTTCACCAGCAAGGCTTGCAAATTCCGAGGGAATTTTGCTTCCGTCGAGGTTCGGTTTACGCCCATGTAGAACACCAATCAGGACGGCGGCACCAAAGCCACTGGGAAACTTCAGCTTCTCACGTATAATGACCTGGCGCCGACTGGAGGCAAAATCACATCGGTTTGACGGATTAGTATTGGGTCAAAAGTGGCTGAGCGAAGGGAGTGTAGACACGGCCATACAGTGGAACGGCGAACAGTACACCGAAGTAACAGAGTCCAAGCGACCACATTATCATTTTGAACAGTGACAGCTTGATCGGCCCCATCTCATCTGCGTTCATGAGGTAATTCATAGCCGGCAGCACGCCAACAAAGCCGGAGCCAAGCGGAGCAATTGCCATGCTGCCAGCCACCGTCTGAACTAGAACATTTTCGACGGGCGAAAATGGGTAGGATAGGTGTCGCGAGAGCGCCTTGAAAATACCAAACCCGAGCAAACTCGACGGCAGCGACATGGTGCTCACGAATCCCGTCTGCAGCCCAAAGTACATGTTCGAGCAACATATAACAAGGCCGACGCCAAGGCCGACCGCGAGGCCGCGCAGTGAGAGGTGCCGCACATCTGAAGAAGACGGCGGCACGCCCTGAAAGTCCGTGGATGGCCGCATGGTTTCGGTGACGGCGAGGGCGGGGAGGGACAGAAGGGGGTATGCCGGTCGCAGTTGGGGTCAGGAAAGGCCGTGACGTTTGCTGGGCAGGCCCTGAACAGGCAGGAGCCAGTACTTTGTAATTGTAAGCTTCTAGCACGGGTTTTCAATCGCTGCCTAAGGTTCTGGGTTCGGGGTGGAGCCGCTGATGACAATGACAGCCTTCCGAAAATAGGTTCAACAGATGCGCAAAGATAGCGGCGTTATCAAACCTGGTATGGGGAAGGTGGGCCTGGCCTGACCTCTCTCCACCTGGCCAGGTCGTGACTACTGTTTGACAGGGCGGTCCTGGGCTTTGTGCCCCATAAGATGTGTACATTCGTACGATGTAGTAATAAAGAAGCTCACACGCAATGAATTCCATGAATTGTTTGACCCAAAATCCCCCTGCTCGCGGGGGCTAGCCGTAACTTAAAAATGTCCCATCTGCTTCTGCTACAGCGCCGAGCAGCTAAAAGCAGGTGCATCTTACTCTGTTTGGATGTAGCCCGACAGGGCGTGGTATCCGCGCCAGGTGTTTTGGTTCTTGCCTCAAGATTCATTTTCATTCCGCCTGCACTGGTTGTATCTTATGACGCATATATTCCTTGACTGAGCGTACCCTTTTAAAAGCGACGCGCTCCATATATGTGGCTACTTGATTATCATGCTAAACAACAAACGACGGTAGGGTTCAAAAGATACTGGCAATTCTTACGGGTATAAACTCCTGGAAGTAAATCAAAACGCCCTTCGAATAATACTGTTGCCATCCTGTCTACTCTCTAGAGTAATCGTTGCACCGCATAACACTTGCCGAAAGAGCAGATGCATATTCCAAACTCGAGTGACAAACGCGACCGATGGTCTCATCTGTGTGCGAGGCTCGGCCAAGATACGCCATCCAGCCCTTCCCCAAGACCTTAACCGCCGCAGAAGCGGGGCGTTTTGCAGTGGATCTCAGTGGCGGCGAACTATTGGCTGATCTGCACAAAATCCCCGCTCGCTGCAGGCTGGTGCAGCCAACCGCCACGCACCCACAGTTGTGATTCGCCAACACTGACTGGTGCTCTTATCAGGGGTGGCCAGGCCTCCATTTGTTCTGGTCGTTGCTTGAGCCTCCCTTGCAACCAGCTGAGCGTTTCTGGTGTTGGTGTCTCTCTCATTGCATTCTCAACCTTGGTCGCCGTTCAAGAATTACTGAATTGGCCGGTCCAGCTGATCGAGTGCCCCGTTGTCTTGCATTTTCATCCACGCCACTGTCGTCTGTTGTACTTACGCCTCACAACATTCGTATCGTTCGCATCATTCACAATACTATCACTCGACGCGCGTTGTTATCATCCTAACACCTTCTCGTGCCCTGGCTTGCCATCCACTTTATGTCACCCCATCCATCGACAGCCACCAGGCCGCTCGAGTTGGGTCCATCTCAGCCTTATCGTGCTGTGTGTACATCCGTTTACTATCCTGTATCGTGTCACCATCGCTCGCCCACGCCGCCGCGTCTAGCTTGCATTGCCTTTTGCTTTGCGCTCTTCTATGCTCTATCTTTTCAAGTCTTTGAACAACCCGCCAGATTCTCGCTAATCCTTCTTTCTTGCTGTTTCCTATTTTTGCCGTCGTACTCCATTCATTTCAATCACAAGATTATCACTCCAAACCATGCGGGCACAGTTCCCATTTGTCGGTCCATTGTGTTCATCGCTATCGCCCTCGTCGCCATCGTCGTCTGTTCCACAGCGGTGCCCCAGTGCTCCCCGGCCACCCATCTTCTCGCTCGTGTAGCATTGATACGCCTCTACTGGTGTTGTATCGGCTCCTCTCGTTCTCCTTCTCTTTCTTGTTTCACTCTCCTCCCTGTCTCGTGCCGCAGCCGCCCAAGCTAGACCTGATCCTCACCTTTGTCGTTTCCCACGACCCGGCTTCTTTTTTTTGGTCTCCTGCTCATACTTGAACTTCTACACCACTTTTATACATACTCGACACCTCTGAGCATTGTAGCCGCAACCGGTCGCTGCCAATTGGATTCTTGCTACCATTTACCGTCTTTCGTCTCAATATTATCGCCCCCGCCCAGAAGAGGGATGTGCGTTGAGACATTCCCTCCCGACTTTCAGGAAACCGGTTGAGTATGTTCTTCATTCCCATGCACCATTCATTGCTTTTTCTCCATATCGCCGTTTGCTGCCTTGAACATCATATGTGTAAATCGTGTTTACTCGTCCCTTATCATCAGCCTTCGAACATCCATCTTAGTCGTGTTTCGAAGACATCGGACTGAACATGCGCGCGGACCTCATGACTTCTTCATAATACGTCTCAATAAATGCGCCGTCGTTGAATACACGCTTACTTTTTTTGTAGGAACGGCGACCGTTGTCACGCCCTTTCCGTTTTATCAGTCTTGTGTCCTCCTTCCAACCTGCCAAGCTGTCCAAATACACTTTCCGCCTTCCCTTTCCAACTCTCTGCGCTTTTATCACCTTGCCTATCATTACTATTTCGCTGCACCCTCCCCTACTCCTCGTGGACGACCTCGACCGTTGTCTTCATTTGGTGCCTTTTCGTCTCTGCTTCTCTCTGCGCCCATTGTCTCGTCTTAATATACCCTTCTCTGACAAGCCCCGCATGGCTACTATCGCTCTAACCCGGCCGATGCCGCCGCACCGCGCCTCTTCCAGCATGCCACCCTTGAGCTCGTCTATCAACATTGACGTCGATACACTGAATGGGCAAGCAGCCCAGCCCAATCCGCTGCCAGCAGGCCCAGTGCCGAACAAGCACATACCCGTCTGCCCGCCGGGTCCACCGGTTGTTTCAACGACACCGTCGCCGTCTCCACCGCCAGACGAGTCCAGTCCCTCCCAGCAGTCCCTTCTCTTCCCCCCAGACCATTACCCTCGCTTTGAGGATGACGGGTTAGCGATACACGACATTGATCCGGCCGGCGTTGCTGCAGCTGTGGACTATATTGCACGCCAGCCGCTACCAGACCCTTCGCTTGTCTTCCCTTGGTTTCACGGCCTCCATCCAGTTAACCACATGCAACAAGCGTTTTTCTCCCAACGCCGCCGTGTGATGCGAAAAACGCCCTGCTGTCTGCGCGGGCTGACAATTGTCAAGGCCGATGGTCAACTCCAAGTCGCTCGCCTAAAAGGCGCCATTGCACCCGGCGAGTTTCTACAGCCGGGTACCGCTGCCGAGTTTCTTGACCCCGACCCTAAAGAAGGTTTCTCTGTGCGGAACTTCCAGATCCAGGCAGCCAAGACCGCCATGACCTCAGATATCATTGTGTATGGCGACGACAGCGCTGCTGTTCGGAAATTGGCTTGGAGAATTGCTGCTGCCCAGAAAACCTGGCGAGACAAACATGACATCGAGGGAATTGCTCTCCCCAGATACAACACATTTGCCTGTACAGGCGACTTTTCCGTCTTTGAGGAATTTTATCCTCACATAGTGTCCGCCGATTCGGAAGGACACATCACTGGCAACGTCATTGACTTCTTCCACCAGGAGCGTTCGGAAATGTATGCCATGACGGTAGCTTCCGAAATTTCACAGAATGTCTGGCTCGGACCGACACCCGAACCGAATTCGGAAGAGGAAACCTCGTACGACGTTTTGATCGAGTGCAGCGACCTGGGACACTTGAATCCTCGTGCACTGCGTGCTTTGGCAGAAACAGGCATCCCATCAGGAAAGAGGATACATCTCGACTTCCCATCATCGGGAACCATCTTGCCCCCAACATGGTCACAAATCGAAGCGGATGCAATCCTCGAGTCTTGCAAGTGGATATACCACTTGGCTCATGGAACAGCAAACCCATCCCTGTTTGTAGCTCTTACGGATGTTTCAAACGCTCCCGTTGACGACGGCCACGATATCACTCTGGCAGACGAAGCAGAGGAGTTACCAGCTATAGCTGCGTCTCAACCGAAAAAGATTCTTATTCACTGTGCAGATGGCTACACGGAATCAAGTATGCTTGGCCTTGCCTATTTCAGTTATAGCACTGGCCGCCCGATCCACGATGCCTGGCTCAATCTCCACACAACGAAGAAACGAAATTTTTTCGCTTATCCAACGGATGTGGCTCTTCTGACTGCACTTTCGTCACGGTTATTATGCGAGTCACCCCTATGCGCAGAAACAGACCTTGATTCCATTACAGCCTCACTTCAAAACCAACCAAAATGGTTCTCAGCACTAGATGGATCGTTTCCCAGCAGAGTGCTAGACTACATGTACCTCGGAAACCTTAACCATGCAAACAACCCCGATCTCCTCAAGGCATTGGGCATAACTCAAATCTTGAGCGTCGGGGAGATGGCCATGTGGCGGGATGACGTCCTGGAAGCCTGGGGCGAAGAGAATGTTTGTGTTGTACAAGGTGTGCAGGACAACGGAATCGATCCACTAACTGATGAGTTCGATCGCTGCCTCGAATTTATACGTGAGTCTTTCTTGTTTTCTCTGGATATACAGATCCAGAATGATTCAACCTCCATTGAACTTTTATACTGAAACTTTACACCAATTTAGAACAAGGGCACAGAAAGGGCACCGCAACGCTTGTTCACTGCCGCGTTGGCGTATCGAGAAGTGCAACGATTTGTATCGCAGAAGTCATGCGGTCAATGAAGCTGTCCTTGCCTAGAGCATATTGTTTTGTGCGTGCACGACGCTTGAACGTCATAATCCAGCCGCATCTCCGGTTTGCCTACGAGCTTCTCAAATGGGAGGAAATGCTTCGGCAGAACCAGATGATAGGTGACTCCACTGCCAACAGTTGCAAAGCTGGTATCAGGAGAGAGCTCGAATGGGGCGAAATCGCACGCGAGGTGGCACTGATGAACCAGCCTTACGTTCGATGAAACATGCTTTCCACTACTATTTTATGCAAGATATGGGCAAGGAGCATGCCAAGAATATTGTGGCAGAAGAAGACATGATTGGTGCGGTGCTGTCCAGCGTTTTGATTTCAAAATTATTACGGTTTATGTGTTATGACGAGTTTCTCGGTTTGCTTTTGCTTGAGAGTGTGTTTTGATTTATGATTTCCCTCTTTCTGGTACATATCGCTTATGGATAATAGTAAGGCGCCCAACGGATACTTACTATGGGATGGAAATCGGTATTGTTTGTTGAAATAGGAAAAACGCGTTGTCCGATTTCGAGGATTATTAAAATTAAATGTCAATGTTCACCGAAAAGGAGACCCAACGGCTCGTAAGGAACCAATCTTTAAAACGTAAAACTGGCATCAAATCAAAGCCAATCCCAAAAAGCACATTTTGAGGTAACACCGGTAAAATGCAAGAAAGATGGGCAGCCCAGTTCTCTACTATCGTGCTTGTTGAGCGACAGAGTAACTGGGGGTAAAATAACAGAAATGCCTGGGACGGGAGAGAAATAAAGAGAAGCAAGGTGAAAAGGCGTATAAAAAGGATGAAAATGAAAAGCAGTTACTTTAACAAGCAAACGAACTCCAACTGAATATGCATTCGTAATTCCAGGACGAGGAAGCACTCCATCCAAAAGTTATGCGCTATAGGCAGATGCCTCAAGCTTATCGTCCCGGTCCAAAATTCTAACGGTAGATAGTTAGCACGTCAACTTGGGCACGTTGTTTCGTGTGTGTCCAGTTCACTTACGAGAAATGGTCAGCTAAATATCCTTCACCGCCGGTTTCCATATTGATATTGAAAACATTGAATCCCCCGTCGCTTGTGACAACCATAACCTGGGGGCTGTTGCTGCTCATCGCCACCACGCTTCGTAGTGGCCCACCAGAATAGTTCAAGCTCCCAGCGCCGGTGTTGGAAGAAGTTCCTGACGGAGTCGCCTTGGATGGAGTGGCTATTGCACCAGACCGTGGGATTTTGATAAACGCAAAGTCTCGTAGTGGCTCCCAAATTTCAGTTACTGTCTGTGGAAGGTAGGAACCGACGACTCCCGCAACGCTACGGCCCATGATTTGGGACGATCTTCGTAACATGCTTCCAAACGAGCCGCTTTGTCGTCTTTGTCCGGATACGGTTCCATCTCGGTTGGCACTGCTGCCAGCTACATCGGAGGACTCGTTCTGCGGCGAGCCGGCAGTACTGCTGGGAGATTCGTTAAAACTGTCGTGGCTGCGCGGACGGCCCCAGAGGCCTTGTTGTGATGAGCCAAAATCCGTGACACCAGCATAAGCCGCTGCGCCGGTGGGTGCGCCTCCTAGGCCGTCGCCTAGGGCACCTTGTGGGCCCCCAAGGCGGAAAATATGAACGGTGTCCGACGTTGAGGAAACACACAACAGGGAAGAGTCCTGGTTAAAGGACATGCTGTATATCGTGGACGGGTATGTGCCACGGCGAAACTGGTAGAGTTTCTGGCCCTTGGGGACGCTGAATACGCGGATGATGGTACCAGTCTCAGACGCTGTCGCCAACAATGTGCCGTCGCCGTTGATTGCAATGCAGGACAAGGGTGAACGATGAGCCTCAATGACATTGACGGCCTTAAGCGTGATTGCGTCGAAGATGAGGACCTCGCCAGATGTCGGAGCAATATAAGACGACAGTGGCGGAGCATGAGAAGGACGTTTCTCGTCGCGGTCCTCGCGGGGATTGGGTAGAGGGTATGCGATATAGCAGTTGTCAGAGGATGGAGAAAGGCAACATATGGCACTGGGGTTTGGAGATGTTGCGATGGTGTACAAGAGGCTCATGTTCGCTATGTCGTAGAGGTAAATCTCGTCTTCAAGAACGACGGCGAGACGTTTCCGATTAAGCCGCACGGCGAGAACGGCAGACGGAAATGTAAGCTCGCATATGACGGAGGCGCGCTGTGTCATGTCAGAGACGGACCAGCTATATAATCTTTTCTCCAAAGGTTAGATAACTCACTTTAGTGTTCTGAATCACCAAATGCCGAGGTGACAGAACCATGGCCACGAGTGACGTCGAAAAGAGCATTTCGATGATGGACACACTACCGTCATCACTGCTGAATATTTTCGAGAAGGGATCGGTGTGGTAGATGCGGAAGCCCTTGGATGTGCCCACGGCCAGGCAGCTGTGGTCCTGGTTGAACGTCACAAAGTTGAGCGCGGGGACGGACATTTTGGCCGAAAGGGGCGATGCCTGTTTGCGACGGCAAAGACGCCGCAATAAACGAAGAGTGGCACAATAAAGGGGACCGGAGCTGTATGGGGTTTTGGTTGATAACAATATCACAAGGTTGCCCGCGGTGAAGACGGAAGATGTGCCAGAGCTTAGTATTGTCGAGAAAACGAACTTCAGGGCGATGCTATGGATGTAATGCACCATTAGAATTGGGAAGGCTGGCTGCGGGGCTCATAAATGAGCTACAGGTGGGACTTAGCGGAAGACCGTATATACGCTGTGCCAGTTAACTGGCCGAAATAGAAGGCGCACGTGAGGAGACCACCTCCTCCATCGGCAAGGCCACCCGTCAGGACCAAATATCGTCTGAAGTATTCTCAAACAAGAAACTGGAACAGAGACAGCAGAAACTGTATACGCACAATTTAGTCAAAAAAAGACGGAAGAAGAAACTACCACCTTTGCAGTCACAATTCTAAAAACAACAGACTACTAGAAACTATCAGAAACCTTGTCTTAAAAGGCAAGTTAGCACAATGGATGTAAGAAACGCTGTCATGTCCTTCCTTTTTCTTTCTTTTTCTACCTAAACCAGAGCCTGCCTTGCTGACATCGTATTGGCATACTGTCCTTAAGAAAAATGCGTTCGACCTTGTTTCTAAGCGGAATGTTGAGCGCCTATACTTCCCTAACGAAATTCAATACTTCCGCTTCTTTGTGAAGAGGTTCCAAAGACGCTCTACGTTGATAAACCGCCTCTATTATCTGCGGATGCGCCTGGTCGATACCACGATCAGTCGGTTTCTGGCACGGCCATTGCGGAAACCAAAAGTCATTGTGAATCTTGGTTGTGGAAAGTTAGATATTGTTCTACGTCCATTCTTCCATCAAAACGCCCATACATCATACCTTGCTGCTTTTGCTAACCTAAATCCAGTGACCCCCTTCCATGGCGCTCCTTAGCCCGCCATTCTGGACACTGCTCATTCGTCACATTTGTCGATATCGACTCTCTAGAGACAATGGTGTCAAAATGCGATATTGTGAAGCAGACCCCAGAGCTGTTAGCGCCCCTGACGTCCCTGGAGTTCCCTCAGGACTCCCACATTCTACTTAAGAGCGACCAATACTGCCAAATTGCCTCCGACTTGAACGATTTGTCTGAGATTGGCCAAGCCCTTTCACGAGTCCTTGATATCGATGGAAGTGAATTTCTTTTTGTTGCAGAGGTGCCCATGGTCCATATGGAGGTTGACGCTGTTGATGCACTCATACGCTGGACGGGTGCCATTGGTGACGCCGAGTTTTGCCTCCTTGAACATATTTTCCCAGACGGACCCTCGTCTCCGTTCGCTCAGGCGATACTTCAGAATTTGGCCAAAGACAAAATAGCCAAGAGCGTGGAACGTTATCCAACTACCAACAGTCAACAGGGGCGCTTCAAAGCTCTCGGTTGGGCCTACGCCAAGGCCCGATCCTGGTGGTGTGCATGGTCGGATCCTCTGTACATGCCCCCCTTGCAAAGGCGAGAACTTGACACGGTCGAGGCTTTTGATAACTGGGAAGAATTTGTTTATCTTACGAGCCACTATTGTGTTCTTCACGCACATGTCGCTACTCTATGCCCAGACACGTTCTTGCAACAAAGCCAGGCCACGGATATTTGCAGAGAGCAGTTTATCAAGTCTTCCTTCGACGCCACAGTCTCCTATACTCTCGACACAAGAGACGTGTCTCCCAGACGATTCGGTGCCTCGATGATACTCCAAACCATTATGGGCGAACAGGTTTTAGTCAATATGTTTGGCTATGCAAAAGAAGGTCAACTCCGATCGTGCGACCTATACAGCAAAAGCGCCAACTTGGATAGGTCGCCACGCATTACTTTACCCCAAGGAGGACCTGCGGGCCGATCCCATTTTACCCTTACAGACCTCGGAGATTACGGCTATCTTCTTGTTGGCGGTAAAGGCTCGTCAGCTACACCATTTCACGATTGCTGGGTGTTCAAGAAGGACGCAAATCGGTGGATCGAGACGCACTGCCTCCCATTTCCTCTGTTTCGACACACAGCTGAACGCTTGGGGAATTCGAAACTGGTGCTGATAGCCGGCGGAAAGCTCGACTCCACGACAGGCAACTCTGACCTCCTCGTGTACCACCCAACCGTAGGTTGGGTGCGCTGTTCAGTGAAGGGGACCCTGCAACCCCCAGCTGTTTCCTGCTGCATTCTATCGTGCACTGGTGCACTGGGCACGAATCTCTCCTTGTTTCGGGGCATTCTGGCCGGAGGAATGGCCAGCGACGGAGTCGTCTCCAGTGAAGCATTTAAGTGGTTATTGGATGTATCGAAAGTTACAGAATCCACAATTAAATTTGAGCCTATAGCCAGCCGCTGGCAGACACAGCTTCTTGCCAGATATGCTGCCTTAAGCACTCGTGTTGGTGACTGGGTTTTCATTGTCGGTGGTGTAGGCACGACAGGAGCAATACCACCAAAAGAAGAAATTGTACGATTCCGTTCCTGCGGAGAGGAAGACGAGACTTACGAATGCCTGAACATTGCACATGGACTTGGTCCGGAGAGCCCCAGACCTTTCTTTGTGGGAGCCTCTATCGTCGCAGTCGATGGCTCACAGATCACTATCATTACAGGCGGCACGTCTTGCTTCAATACGGAGCCTAGGTGGCCTCGTGGGGTGTACACTTTTGATATACGCACGCCCTCTTCGTTTAACGGTTCGACCTGTGAACGACCTGTGTGGAGGTTTTTCAAGACGCTGACGATCACAAACGAGATATCAACAATTTGCGGCGAGTCACCGGTGCATTATACGGACACCTCGTCGATCTCCAGCATCCCTCGAATAGAACTAAATTCAGCGGAGCAATTTAGTAATATACTTCAAGGTGGTCGGCCGGTAGTCTTTGAGCGTCTCGATCTCGGGCGGTGTCTCACTGAATGGAGCCTGAGCTACCTGGCTGAACGAGTGGGCCCCAAACGAAAGGTAAGATATATTCCTTATACTCATGAAACCTAGTCTCCGAAGACCCATGGCTAATATGCTTTACCTTAATTTTTTTTTTATAGGTCGTCGTTCATGAATCGACGGATCAATCCATGGACTTTTTATCCAAGAATTTTCAGTACAAAACGCAAACATTCAAGGAGTTTGCTCATGGTGTGCAAGATGGAAAAAAGTGGTATTTGCGAGCTCTGTCAGCGGATAAGCCTTTTGGCACCCCGTCAAAACTCGACACTGATTTCCCTACGATTGCAAAAGATTTCGTTCTTCCTCCACAGTTGGGCTTCGTCGAAAAACGGCTCTTCAGCTCAGTCTTACGGATCTCTGGCCAAGTCAATATGTGGCTACATTATGATGTAAGCTTTCTCCTTCGCCTGGCCTCAAAGGCATCTATTCTGGCAGCCGGTTGAGCATGTATGGGGAGTATACATGACAAAATGACGGGGATGAGACTCAATATACTAATTCTGGTTGATGTCGCTACTGTACTGCTCTGTTATTAACATTACAAAAAATAGGTACTGGCAAATATTTACTGCCAGGTTCAAGGCACCAAGCGATTTTACCTATTCCCGCCTTCCGATGTCACACGACTTGGCTTTGCACCCGGCTCATCAAGCTCTAGTATTGACGTGTTTTTGGCGCTGGCTTCATCCTCCATGCCCCAGTGCAGCATTCATGAAGCCATTTTAAAACCCGGAGACGTCCTGTTTCTCCCTCAGCTGTGGTTGCATACGGCAACGCCTATTTCCACCAGCAGCGTCGCCGTTAATGTTTTCTTTCGAGATCTCGACAAAGGATACTCGTCAGGAAGAGATGTGTATGGAAATCGAGATCTTGCTGCCTATGAAAAGGCTCGACAGGATATTTGCCGGATGTCGGGTACTTTCAGAGACCTTCCACGTGACACAAAACGATTTTATTTGCAACGTCTTGCCGACGAATTGCTGCAAATTGCAACCGAATAGCACTCCCGGAATAGTGCTTAGGAGCTGATGGTTGCCATCTCAGCTGGCGAGGCCGTATTGACAGAAGTTGGCAGCGACAGTGGGGTTTTCACTGCTGTGCGCTTGCTCGTCACCCACCGGTAGGCCACGACGACATCATTTCCGATGCTCTCGTGATTTTCTTTAGCATTCTCCAGTCCACCTCGCTTGTACCCACCCGGAAGGAAGCACCAAGTGATAAGGATGAACCCAAGGATGGCGACAACAATGGGCTGGAGAACCTCGACACCTTTGCTTTGTGCGATGGCACCGACTGCGAATGGGAAGAGAGCGCCACCGCCGCTTCCAAATGCAGCGGCGAAACCAATTGCCGAAACATGGAAATCGTGTGGCAAAAGTTTGGTGGCAGCCACAACAGCGGCAGGAAATAGTGGCCCAAGGAAAACCCCAAGGAAACTGACAAAGATGGCCGACGCAATGAACGACGGCACGAGCCAGTAGAGTAGCTGCAAACCAATCGATGAAAGCAGGTATACGGTGATAGCCAGTTTTTCGCCAATGCGACCTGTGACGAAACCAAGGACCAGCCGCCCAACAGTGATGCCGAGCCAAAAGCCCGTCACCGATAGACCGGCAGCAAAATTTTCAGCGTGGCGATCGTTGAGCATAAAGGTGGTGATCCAACCTCCCAAGCTGACCTCTACGCCGACATAACCAAGTAAGAATATGGCCATGAGCCAGGTGATGGGCTCGCGCAACACGCGCCTCGTTGTAGTGCGTTGCTGTCCTGTCGTTGATTTGTGGGATTCGCGATGAATTTGGCCCGTTGCACCCCAAAATGCCATAGCGCCAAGGGCAATTCCAAGACCTGACAAACCTACCATGAGGTAGTAGAACGTGTACCACGGCAGACTGGCCTTGGTTACCATGGCGGTCGCGATGAGAGGCGATATGGTGGCACCAAGGCCGTAGGCGCCGTGCAGAAAGCCGAGAAGCTCGTTGGCATTTTCCATGTTACCGACCCACGCATTCCAGCCGCTGTCTTCGACTCCGTTCCCGAGCCCTGGAAAGATCATGATGACGGGTAAAACAGGGAATGGCGGGTGGAACATCATGGGGAGGTAGCCGGCCAGACGGCCGAAAGAGCCAAGAATGGCGACACCAAACTGGCCGAAACGGTGATGGATGTGGTTGTTGGCCAGGGCTGCAAAGAGATATCCTGCGAAAGAGGCCAGGAAAACACATGATATGACTGTGTAGGACACATCGTAATACGATTCAATCTAGTGGGGAGGGGTGCAAGTTAGTATAAGGGAACGTGCCTAGAAGGTATTACATGTGGTTTCAATAAGAGGCCGGGCAAACAGGCGCCAGATTCGCTGGGCTGGTGTGTAATGAGAACATACATAAGGAAGCAGTGCCTGATCAACAGAGTATTAGATTAGTACGGAGTACTGCAGTCCTGAGTCTGGTTGGCCAGAGGAGCAACCTGGTTTGTCAGAGAGGAATGTGGTTGCTTACGCCGACAGCGCCGTCGTTCATGCCCATGACCGTAAACGCATAGAGGGTGAAACAATATCGTAAAATTGTTGTCCTCGACTCGTTCCATCTCTGCAAGGGCTCCGGGGGAGGAGAGGCTAGCGAAGCCGGTGAGGCCGCCGCCACCGTAGCTTCTTCAAGAGCATCCGCCTGTGGTGTCAAACGATGCGATGGTGGTGGTGAAGGTAGCCGCGATCCTGACGGATCAAATTCGACGCCGTGCTTTTCGTCGACCTCCGAATGCAGTGCCCTAGCCAACTGCTTCTGTCCTGCAGTTGCCGCAAGTTCGGGGGCGGTTGTCATCGCTTACTTTGTCTGCCGTCCGTGGTGTAGTCGGTGTTCTTTGAGATGTCCGAAGCATGGGTTCAAAAGCAAACAGCAGAGTCATTTGCAGTAAACAGTATCTCGACTGAACCACAGGAGGCTTCTCTTTAGATGAAGGACTGACGCCGGACGTATATGTATGTGTGTGTAAAGTCCGATAAACGGATAAGATTCGGCGAGCTGCTTGGTGACGGCCCTCTAATGGTTCCACGATGTCCATGCATTGACGTCTGCATCCGCATTGTCGTGGTTTGGCGTTGCCGGTATGTTGAAAATAAATGCATTGGTTTGGAGCAGCAAGGCGTCAAATTTGTGTGTGCGTGGCAATCTGGGCAACATGCAGCTTACATTCGCGTAAAATCTCTGCGAGTGTCATGCTGCGCGAGGCGGAGGTGCCAAATTAGGTCACAACTGGTCTAGTGGAGATACTAAGAGCATCGCCAAAGAAGATCATTTTCCGAGGTTCTACCGCCGGCGCGGCCGTCCGTTGATGCAATGGCGTGACGTGTGCGGATACGAAGAGTTTCACGTGAAAAATCCCGTGATGACCTATGTCGGCCAATTGCTGGAGCACAGATCGGTACGCGTCCACACTACGTGTTGATGTTGTGCTTTTAGTACGCGGCTAAGTCTCGGCAAGTGGCCGCAGCCGATGCTTTACCGCCACGCCGGACGCGGATTCACGGAATAACGACCTCTGACCGTCGCCGCCTGCCGACGCATCAACAGCGGATGACAACCGGAGGCGCATCGCATCCAGACCGCATTAAGGAAAACCTCGAGGTGACACCTTATTATGCTGCCGCTTTGGGACGGCATTATTTTTCCGTTATCGGCACTAAGTAAAGCTCAACGGATTCAATGCCTTTGACAAACGAAACGTGCAGGCAAATGTCATGTGGCCTACTCAAGCTTAGCAGCAAGTGGGCAACTATTTTTTGTGCTTCCTGACTCAAAGTGCTGGGCTGCACTGCACAGCCGCCTTGGCAACACATGCAGGCCTGCTGACAGCGGCCTGTAAGTAATGTAACATCACTTTCTGGCCCCGCCCTATTGTCTACTGTCTTGACTACGAAGTGGTCTGGGAGCACACAGTCCGAGGCCCTGTCAGAGACGGCTTTCGCATGCGTCGTAATATCTTCCTCCCCCTTCGCATACAACAACTTTCATAGTACAATACACGGCATCTGGTCGCGCCAACCCCCATACCGCTGTCAGCGGTTGGCCACTGGAAACACCCTGGATCTCGAGCGTCAATAAGCTTCTATTCTTCTAGGCTCGTCTTCCCCACGTTGCCTTCATAGTCCCTCAAGCCCTCCTCTTGACGTGTAATTCGCAAACTCCGTATCCCTTGCCCAGCCTCATTTAGGTTTGTTTTCTTGTGCAGTCGAAAACACATCACTTCCTTCGTCCGGGGATCCCGTCAGCCGCCTCTTTTGAATCCTCTGGGACACTCTTTTTTCCCCACCTGTACTTCGTAACCACCATCCCGTCTCTATGTGAGATTACATGAAAACTTTCTAGACCATGCTACTCGGGTCGTTTATTGGGAGGTTAGGATATGCATTTCACAGCCCCGTGCAACAAACAACGCTTCCATTTCGTGCGGCCCACGTCCCTGGCTCCTCTGTTATTGGTCCTCCGCCTCTAGCTTTCAGAAGAAACGCTCCTGTCTTCCCTTGCGCCACGAGGCACAGCAACATTTTATTGCCCGAAGCTGGTGCCTCTGCATAAGCTCCCTTTTCCAAATCCTAAAGAGCCGCCTGATCAACAACTGGCTTTGGTTTTCATATTTAACAGGTCAGCCTCGTGCCTCTGCCAACCTAATGACCAGCCTGTTTTCTTCCCATTCCCTTTCTCTCTTGTATTATCCCCGATACATCACCAACCCCAAATATCTCCAGACGGCCCAAAACACACCCCTCTTAGTACCCATTTCGTCCCCTCAGCCCCACCACAGTGCGAGTGTTGAATCCTGGGGCTACATCCTCGGGTCTTCTTACCACTATCATGTCACGCTACTACGACGACGACGACGGTTTCCGAAGACGCCCTAGCTCTTCTCACGGCCGTGGGCGCCATCACCATGACCTGCCGCCGGAAGATGACTACTCTGACTCAGCCGGGCTTCCGCCTATGTACTTGACCAATGCCCCAGGTGGTGGCCGCCTGCCGTACGACCCAAATGTGCCCGTGTTTCCTCCTCCTCCCAATGCGTCGGATTCAGACTTTGGCCGCCACGGCTCCCTCCAAGTGCCACCAACACGGCATCGTCCCCGGTCGCAACCCCCAGTTTTGTCGACTGGGCGCTCTGAGCTCTCGCGGCGCGGCAGCGATCGTAGTGACCGCTCACCGTCGCCAGACCGATTCCGCGAAGGCTCGCACAGCCCACTTGAGAAAGTGAAGCATGCCGCCGACAAAACGTTTAGCACTTCCAAGTCTGGCATTGGTGTCGGCGTCCTTGGTGCCATCGTCGGCGGGTTTGCCGCCCACGAAGCCTCCGAGGCCGCATCGCGTGCACGCGACAAACGTGACCACCGTCACCACAGCTCGCGTGACCACCAGAAGGCCACGCTGATTTCGACCATTGTGGGTGCGGCCGTTGGCGGCCTCGGCGCCAATGCGATTGAGAAGCGTGTCGAACACCGCCGGCAAGAGCGCGACAAGGATGACCATGACTGGGACCGCGACCACAGACCGCAGGAGTTCGGATATCACGGCGGTGGCACCAGCAGAGGTATCAGTGACCGTCCCCACAGCCACGCCCGTAGCAGCCGGGGCGATGATGACAGCGATGATGACTACGAGAGCGGCGGTCGACGTGGACGGCGCAATAACCGCGAGCGCAACCTTGTCATCAGCCGCAGTCCGAGTGCCAGCCTAAGCCGCAGTCGCAGCAATAGCCGCACTCGCGTTCAGCGTCCCCAACACGGCGGAACCGCTGATTCCTATTACAACTCGTCGAGGTCCTATGATGACAGGGACGACCGTCGGTGATGCGGAAACCAACATGGCCGTGTTCAGGGCTTATGATTAGCTCATGTTTATTCCTTTGTGTTGCGGAAGCTGCTTTGACGATTATGATTTCGATGCCTATTTTAACTGTTCCGGCTTTCAGTTCGCGTTTATGAAAACAATTTCACGTCTTATTTTGCGTCTCGTTCATTTAATCATATTTTCTTTTGTTGGGGGTGAGGGGAAGTCAAGTAAATTTCACCTCGTAAACAATAACAAAAAAGTACAAGAGACGTAGTGCCGACAACCACCGAACATTGAAAACAAAGTTACGAACTCCGGCATCTCCACCGCCGTAAACTATTGCAAATTCTCCGAAGTATCGCGAGCCTACCTCTCCCGCCCCTGGCCTGGTATCACCAAGCACATATTATATTCGCGTAACATCAGTACTCCATACACCCGGCCATTTGTTGGCAATTCCCCATTCTTTCCTTCGCTCATATGTAGGAATACCGACTCAAGTGAACGATCGGCTCCCTACGGCCAAATTCAAAATCAAAACCACGGCACGACGAAGATCAGCGGCCTCGAGTGTGACTTGAGCGGCCCCGTGGCCCTCTGGTACCAGTGGAAGGGTCTTGGCTGTGAATTACTGGGGTAACCCACGAACCTCTTCGGTGCGCTGCAATTTGTGTTCACGCTCAAGGACAATTTTGAAAAATTGCACGACCTCAGCAAGCTGAATCTGGCGCTGCTCAGCGCTGCCGAGAAGATTCAGAAGGCTTTGCGAGTCTAGCAGTTGCTTGGCCATGACCGAGTCTGGCTGACAAAACGTGCGAACTCTCAATGCGCGCGCATTCACTCGCATGGCCTCTAGGATTCCCGAGATCGCTGCCGGTACGCTAGCGCGGTCGCCATAAAACCGGAAGTCCTTCATATGAAGAAACACAAGATCCAATTGAGTCTCAAGATCGTAGCGAAAGCCTACGACCTTTGGGCGGCCCTTTTGGTGCCAGGCATCGACAACCTTTTTGTACTTATCGGCGTCTAGTCGCCCAGCGTTGAACTGGCTGTTGATATAGCAGTCCAGTGCTGACGTCAAAAGGAACTCGAGCTCACAGTATAAGAGGCTCTGTTCACGTGGGTCAAGGGAAATCCGTACACGAGAAGAGGCACGTCCGCGCTCGCCACCTTTCACCCTGCGGGAAGACTTCATTTCTGTTGCATCGGCCTATTTGGACGATATTAGCATTGATTCTATCGCACCAGCGCGTTTTAATCTCGCAACGTACAACTTCTTTCGCAATGCGCTTCAGTGAGTCAAAAAAGCCTGCTTTTTTAGGTTGCTCCGGCTTCTTAGCGATGCTGCCTGGGCGTTCAAGCCACCCGTTCTGGCCAACCATGACCTTGTGTCCCCTTCGCATTGTCGCGAACCGAGGCTCGTTGCAGAGACTCGTTAAAGGTGAATACATTCCACGTGACGCAACACCAGCCTCATCTGCTTGCAAAGGGGTATCAGCAAGAATAGAAGCATATTCGCCGCTCGGCTTTGCATCCGCTGTACGATGCCCGATAACCTCAGCTTTCTCACCAGTACCAACCCCCGTAGCAATCGGTGTGCTAATCACACCATCTCCACCTACAAACTGCTCAGACACGGACATCGGAGACACTGCTGCCTAGGCAGTATACTCCTGAAGCGTGTTGGACGGATGCTGGGGCGACAGTCCAGGTGACCTGTTAGGGGGCCCCATCTCGGCGATTCGTTTGACATAGAGAGGGTGGATATGCGGGATGGCTTTGATTAGGTCGTCCATGGAGTAGATGGACGACGAGGCGTCTGTCATATCGGGCTCTTCCGGAATCTGCCGCTGATTCTGGGGCGCAGCCTGGAGGTTGGTACCACTTTCGCCACGATAGTAAGCTGCAGGGCCGAGCTCAAAGCTGCGCGCCTTCCCACTGCTTTCTATCGTTGCGTGTGTGCTGGTTCCAGGAGTCGACATGCTGTCCTGGGCTGGTGAATGCTTACAGGGGGATGATGCCTTAACATTGCTATGGGTTGGTGACGAATACAGCATGGAGTCTGTGTAGCCATAAGTATCCTGGCGGTTGTCGTTATGGCCCCGGCCACGTGTACGATGGATAAAGGAGATGCCCGGGTGCTGTTCTTCCAATGCGGCTGAGGTAGCCGATGTTGTCTTTTCGCGGCCTGGAAGAATGGGGAGAGGGACAGGTGCTGCTGGCGGGTGTAAGTCGTCCGCGGTGGACTGATGGCGCCGGGTGGCAGCGAGTCCGATATCACCGCCGTCTGTTGTATCCGAGCGACGGTGGGTTTTCGGCCTGGGCCCGTCATCCACTGCTATGCTGCGATACAAATTAGCGAACAAGATCCACCACAACGCATTCAGTTACCGTCCGGTAGAGCGTACGTCGAGGTCAATTTGTCCATCTGCGAGTCTGTCAGGCTCAAATGTAGGTGTACACCAGGCTCCTGTCGGTGCCGGCGGGGTGATCGCGAACGCAGACGGCGAGGGCTGCGCGTGCGTCTGGGCGGGATAAGGAAGAGGCCCTCTGACGACTGCAGCGGGATGAAATTTCCCATCATCGGCTCTGTGTCAGGGGATGCCATTATTGAGCGAGATTGCATGTAGACATCCAGACCTAGTGCTGTTGTGGTCGTGAGTTGATTTATGGGAAGGCAGAATAAAATAAAGACGCGGTTGCCTCGGCTTCTCAAGAACAGCAACGAGGAAGGAGCAGCCAAGTGGTGTGACCCCGTGACCACAAGTCATTGATGTGCTATTCTAGAAGGTTTCTCAATGGGACTGCCTTGGGGACTGAGATGCTGTCCTCGAAGGTATCCTCTCTGACCTCCTTCGCCAATGAAGATTTTTGAAGGCAGTCCATTGTAGAGCGCAAGAACAAGGCCTCGACGGATTTCTACACTTCCCGTTTGTATTATTTGTTGTCGGCCGTTCTGTTGCCATGCCAAAAATCTAAGGACAGCGAAAAGATGCGATTGCCTTCCAAATGTGGAAAGAGCGATGCGGGCAGTACAGCTGTACTTGTTTGCGGGCCTCGCCACTTGACAGTCTCTTAAAACAATGTTCACGTCCGGGGTCTCAATGGCTTCTACGCTTCTACTATCCTCATCGTCAACAGGTGACCTGCACACAACGCACGACCTGTACCTCGAGATACCGCCGTCCCGGAAGTGGCCCGAGTCTGGCCCCGATCCATTTGATGCTCCGGCATGGCTGCGCAGACGGAAGAGTAGGGGATACCTGAGTCCAACTATACGACACGACGCTACAACTTTTCAGGTCGGCTCGCATTGCAAATGTGAGCCGTTCTCCTAAGCGGCTGACTGCGATGCAGTGCCGCTCTCGGTTCCCGCGGTGGGCATCTTGGCGACCGGTGGACAGAGCCTACTGTGGAAACCATGATGCGCTTCTGCTCGGCTACTGCTGTCGGAAGGGTATCATCAAAGTGTCGTAGATAAGGCTTGGGACAGACCCACTAGGTGCCTATTTTTTCGCCGTGGCTTTGCCGTAATCTTCTCCGAACTGAGGTTGCTGTCATACGCGCATAGTGTTGATTTTGTCGAAAAGGGGGCCACACGTGCGATAAAAGCGACTCTTGTCTGTGTACCAGACTGCGCTAAGAAGAAAGTACGTAGGTCGTATTAATCTTCGGCGCTCTCGCGTTCTTCAAGAATATGCCCCACATATCCCCAATTCCCCCCAACCCCTGTTCTTCGCCACCGTGCAAAGTCAGTTTCTGTGATTATTTGCACCGTCTAGACAGTTATCCTCACCCAACTCCCGTCTGTATCTCCCGAAGCGCCACTACGATCCGTCCTGTCGTAGCCCCCACAAGGAAATTGTCCAACTATCCGTCGGTTTGGTCCCGCATAGCCAGAACATCGTCGTCATATCACAGCCCAGTGGTTAATACACTACCGATCGATATTGCCGTGTACTGGCTAGCTATCTGTAGCAAGGGGGCTTCCTCCACAATCGTCTCTCGCCATGGCTCTCGCTGTCCAAATATCTCGCGCTGTTTTACAATGCTTTAATCGCGGGTTCAAGTTGCGACGGTTGCATGGGTAGCTTTCCCTTCCGGTAGCTGACCAGTCCGATATTTCTTTTGTAAAGCCGTACGAGCGTATTGCGGCGCGCATGATATAAACGGGGACATATTTCTCGTTTCCCATCCCCCGTTTCTTCTTTCCCACCCGCCGACTACCCTACTGCCAACATTTAGGACACTTCTCGTGTACACACTCTACTCTCCTACCGAATCACCACCCAACGACTGCGCTGTACGGACACTTTCCGCCCGCTCCCATTAGACCTACAAGTTTCTGTGACTGTACAGGCCCGCAGAAAGGCATCACACAGAGCATCCCAAAACTTCGCATCCACTTTTACCTACCACTTTTACGCGGATATGACGTCTCAATCTGCGCCGCACTATGACATTGGTATGTTTACACGCTCGTGCGGTGCCAGCCTAGTTGCTTCCCGTAGATTCTGAGGTCTGGGGTTGCTAACTTGCTACTCGCCCGTGCCTAGTCATCGTGGGTGCTGGTCCTGTTGGCTTGATGTTGTCAACTCTTCTCGCAAGATGGGGCTACAAGATCAGGCACATTGATAACCGACCAGAGCCGACACCCACGGGCCGTGCCGATGGTATCCAGCCACGTTCTCTCGATCTTCTGCGCAATATGGGTCTGAAGCCCGCCATCATGGCTCACCAGCCAGCTCGCGTGTATGAGGTTGCTTTCTGGGACCCACCCAAGAGCGGCGACGGCATTGAGCGCACGGGAACATGGGCCAGCTGCCCCAGCTTCATAGATGCCCGGTACCCTTTCACAACCCTTCTTCACCAAGGACTCATCGAGCGCGTCTTCATATCGGATCTTGAGAAGCACAACGTTTCCATCTTGCGGCCGTGGACGATCAAAGGCTTCCACTCCGACGAGGCACAGAATCCCGAATACCCCGTTGAGGTCCAACTCGAGCACGTCGATGGCTCTGCGCAGGAGACCGTCCGGGCCAAGTATCTGTTTGGCGGCGAAGGTGCACGGTCATTTATTCGCCAGAAGCTGGGCATCCAGGTCCGCCACAAGGACCCAATTTCCTATGTGTGGGGCGTCATGGACGGAGTTGTTAAGACCGACTTCCCGGACATCAAGGCGAGTCTCCGTGCAAGGTTTGTTCTGGACACTGATGGGACGCCCTTGCTAATCCTGCCCTCCTCGAATACAGATGAAGTGCACCATCCACTCACGGGACGGCTCCATCATGGTCATTCCGCGTGAAAATAACATGGTCCGACTGTATATTCAGATTGCCTCTTCCACGGACTCAGATTTCAACCCGCGGAAGACGGCGTCCGAGGAGGAAGTGCAGGCACATGCAAAGAAGATTTTGCAGCCATACTCAATCGAGTGGGAGCGGGTTGAGTGGTACTCGGTCTACCCTATCGGCCAGGGTATTTCTGACAACTACACGCTTGATCATCGCGTTTTCTTGGGGGGCGATGCTTGCCACACTCACAGTGTACGGATCCCTCGAGTGTTTTATTATTGTATCGGTGCACAATGTTCATCCGGTTCATTGGTACTAACAGTGTGCTCTAGCCGAAAGCTGGTCAAGGCATGAACACCGCATTCCTCGACGCCCAGAACCTCGCCTGGAAAATCCACCTTGTCGAGAAGGGCTTTGCCAACCGCAGCCTGCTGCAGACGTACCAGTTTGAGCGCAAGGAGGTGGCCGAGACGCTCCTCTCCTTCGACAACAAATACGCCAAGCTCTTCTCTGAGAAGCCCCCAGCCGCCAGCATGGTGGAAGCCGCGACCGAGTCCAAGGCTCCTTCGAACCCGAGCAGTGAGGAACAGCACGACAATGCGTTTGTGCAGGTTTTCAAGGAGAGCTGCGAGTTCACAAGCGGCTACGGCGTCAAGTACCAGCCCAGTCTGATTACCTGGTCCCCTGACCACCCAGCACAGTTGGCAACTGTCGACCCGGAGGCCAACAAGCTGCGCCCTGGCCGGCTCTTGACTAATGCAGATGTGACGCGCGTTGTGGACGCCAACGTTGTGCATCTTGAACAGGAGGTGCCCATGAACGGCTCCTTCCGTATTTTTATCTTTGCTGGCAAGGCATCGACTACGGCGGCCGCTCTCCGAGACCTTGAGAGTGGCATGCGGAAACGCAACTCGTTCTACGCCTCCTACCAACGAGCGGACGTGGACACGGTTTCGTATCACGAGAAGCACAACCCCCACAGCCTATTCTATACTTTCTGCGTCATTTTTGCTGGCCGCCGGCAAGATATCGAGATCTCGCGCGATGTGCCGGGCCTTCTCACACGGTACCGGGATCACGTCTACGCCGACGATCGACGGAGCTACCGTGTGCCGGACGCACGTGCGTCGGCACATGTTAAAATGGGTTTCGACGAAGACCATGGCGGCGTTGTTGTGGTCCGACCTGACGGCTATGTTGGTATTGTTACGAGCCTTGTAGAGGGCAGCGGCACATTGGATGCGCTCAACGCTTACTTCGGGTCATTCTGCACAAAGAAGCTCGGCCAAGAGTCGGCGCAGCTGTAAACTACTTTCTCCTTGTTGTATTTTGTTATCCGCTGTCCTATTTTATGTATTGCATAGCCACATCATAGAGTGTGCCAAAGTACATATGTAATGTAGTAAACTCAAAAATCGGAATATAGAGATTAAGAGTCTGTGTTGAGGCCAACGCTCGGCAGTAAGTTCAGCGTGTGGTAGTCCGATGTACTTGATTATTTTTAAAATTAATTTAATCCCATTTTATAAGTTTAATCGTTCTGGACAAACGGTACTCTTCTCATTTCCTTGGAAAGTCGCAATTATGACTGAGAGCGCTATAAAGAGTGCTTGGCATATAAACAATTGCTAGGTTTGGTCAAACAGTCCTACTAATTCGTATGTTCATCGTCGGCTCATCGACAACAATGCAGTTCTGTTGTATAAGTGCAGTGGGAACAATAGCAGTTCAGAGAGATGCTTGGTGCACCATATGAATAGAGGACTGCCTTGATGAGTCATCATCATACTCAATTAACGACTATTCTAGGCCTCCGTTAAGCTCCTTGCAGGGGCGAGGTTGGCAGCGGGTCTTTCGCACCGTATCAAAGAAAATTTAGGGAAGCTGCCGCCGAAACGGGTCTGTGTGGAGTGCAAGTCTGCAACCAAGAATCGCGACCACAAAGCGCACGTTGTTCGCCCGCCACTCACCCTCGACCGCAATCGGCGGCGACTCCTCTCGCTTCAACACACGAACACGGATACCATCAGCCACCTATGGCATGGCCATCGACACTTTTTTGACGTTCGCCCGAGAGTTGCTTCACTTGCTTTTTTCGCGATCACCAACCCCCAGCTCACCCTCCCCGAACCGACGGACACCCAAAAGCCCTGCAATCAGCGCAAAGAAAGACGGCACTGGCGGACATACCAAGACCAGAAGAGATTTGTTGACGCGCCTTCGAGTCGCAAACTGGGAGATAAGCCAACGCGTTGCAGATTCGAAGAGACGTCGTCGCCTTGGCTCGGAGATTGCTTGGCTGGCTACGCGCCATGACGGCCGCCATGCGGCCGGAAACTTTGAAGGAGCTGTTTTGGAACGGCTTCTCATTTATATCTGAGAGAATACTGCAGCATAACACTCCGACCGATGACCCCGAGGCGCGATATGTGGCGGCCGATCGAGCACACCACGCAATCACGGTCGACCGCATAAAACCGCCTACTTCTGCCACGAACATTGCCCCCGACCCACTCCCCTTCAGCCAAGACTACGAACTTATCTGGCGTGACGGTCCTCACGACCACATATCTCCTGCCGGATTTGAAGCAATCGCCTCACTTCTGCGCGCGTGGAAAGACGACCTCGTGGCCGGACATGTTGCCCGCTGTCCTTACCCGCGACCCGTTGTGCGGCGCTTTGACGATGAAAACCGCCACGAGACACGCTTGTCGGCCGTTGTTCACAATTTCATGTTTCAGCGTTCCGGTGAAAACTCGGAGCAGGCCTGGAAAGATGCTTCGGTGGAGTTTTTAAAAGCCATCGAGGCAACAGAGCGGTGGATTTCCGTCCTTTACGCGCCGGGCAACTTTGAGACCATGAAGTCCCAAGGCATTGTGCTGTACAACGAGATCAGCACGTCGGTACAGCAGTTCTGGGACAGTCGTTGTGGCCTCTGCGCTGTGGGCGACTTCCTGGCATTTGCCATTTTGGAATCACACCAATGGGGCCACCCAGGCATGCAAATTTCCCAGCTGTCCCTCATGAAGTTGCTTGTCGACCTGGAAGCTTTCCACCGCCAACAGCCCATTCTAAGTTTTGTTTCAGTTGAGCGGCAAAACCACCCTCCGGGATACCTTTTCGACGACGATGACGGAGCAGTGGAATCGGTCACAGCGGAAGAGCTGCGTAACCTGTGGCTCGGCAGCCGCGCCGAGACAAGCGTTTCTCTCTTCAAATGGCGCAACCCTCCAGTTTGCCGCATATATGGCAACGGCACATCGAGTGCGCGGTCACAGGAGGCTCTTCGCAGATCGCGAATCGTCAGCGCTGCTGCAGCTTCTCTCAAAGCTTCTCGCCGCCTGGCAAATGGCAGTGGGCCCCTCCTCATTTCGCCCTCTCGGTCTTTGCTATCCCAGAGATACAAGGCCGGTGCCCATGGTCAACCGTGTCGCACAAAGTTTTATGCACTACCCTTTATCAAAGATTATCAGATGCCCGCTAAGCGGAAAGCGAAAACAGCTACACCGGATCCTCGACAATTCAAGCGCTCCCGCTTAGAGACGACGGCACGCACCGATTTTGGAAATACTAAAGAAGCGGCGGACGCAGCTGCTGTAGCCGCCGCTGGTGTGCCATTGCCGCCATCTCCTGCAACAACTGAGGTTGCATCAGATGATGAGACTGATGTCGAAAATGCGGCGGCTGGTGTTGAATTCGCTGACCAACGCCGCTTGCCTTGGACTTCTATCTTCCCAGAAGACGATGATGATGACATCACGTTCATGCCGCGACTTCGGATAAGTAAATTAAAGGCAGACGAGTTGCGTACTATTGCCAAAGAGAGGCATGCTACGCAAGAGGCCGCACGTCTGAAGAGAGAGGCAGAAATCCGTCGCAAGGAAGAAGAAGAGATTGCAAAACGGTCTGGGCTGCGTCCACCTGCACGCCAGGTTATTTCGTCTCTATCGGACTCGTGGCACTCCCGTGTGAACTCTGCTGTCTGCGCCGACCCAAACAAAGACATTGCCAAGTCGCCGGAAGGGACCATTCTCCGACGCAACGACTTTAAGACTGTTGTCAGCAAGTCAGAGTGGCTCAACGATGAGATTGTGAACGGCTCGTTGCTTCACCTGGCCAATTATATCAACGGCAAGGTAGGCATCACAAACCCGAAGATGCAAACACCCAAGTGCCATGCATTCACTTCCTTCTTCTGGAAGCCGCTGTCCACCAAAGGCGCTGCTGGTACCGAACGCTGGATGAAGCGTGTGGGTGTGACAAGGGACAACTTCCTTAAGATCGACACAATCCTCATTCCCATCTGCGAGCACAATCACTGGACATTGGTCGTGGTGCGGCCCGGCCGCACTACGATCACGCACATGGACTCGCTGCGCAACAAAGGTGCTGGCCGACGCGAAGTTACCGACACAGTGATGCGCTGGGTTAGGGAGCTTCTCAAGGACAAGTTCTCGGACAAGTGGCATGTGCAACACTACGACTCCCCGCGCCAAACGAATGGCTGGGACTGTGGCGTACATACCATTACCAACGCACTGTTTCTGTCACTCGGCCTTGATCCGTCCTATTACAAGGCTGTAGAAATGCCTCTACAGCGCGACCGCATTGCCGCCACACTCATCAATGGCGGCTTCTCTGGCGACCTAGACCTTACTGGGCTGTGAGAAACAGTTCCTTGACTTACGTCACTTTGCATTTATGTCATCATTTTGTTCTGAATATGTTACGTGTTCTAATTATTTTTGCTTCTTTTCTTCTTTCTCTCTTTTTCATTTCTGCTTTTCGGAGATGGATACCAACAGCATTGACTACATGGCACACTGCGACTGGCGTCATCGGAGGATCAAATTTGCGTTTCACAAGGATATTCAACGCGTTTATATCAGTGCACGACGTGCAAGGAGCATAGATACGCTTGCTACGCTCAAGGGATGGTAAGAGCATAGGGAAACAGCCGGCCGGCCAGCAAGGGAAGGGGATCGGATACGGGCCTGTTTTTTAGTGTACTTAGATACATTCTTAGTACGATACGATATGGGACAAGGGGATACCCACACTAGACGAAGGAACGAATTCTAGCACAAAACGTACCATAGCCACTGGTGCTTGTACTTTCCCAATTCGCACTGCTCTAAGAAAGTCAGCGCCCAAAACGACATAAAACCGTCGCCCTATACAACATGACGGGCAGCCGTGTTGCAGCGGAGCTCGGTCTCGGCTCGCCGTTTATTGTCTTTTCCCAGTCGAGAAAGGCGTGCCGTGAGCCTAAATTGCACCGTCTGTATTGGCAGATCCTTTATGGCACGATGTTCGAGAAAAGGTCGGGGGAGACGCCCTCTCGGAAGTGCGAAGCATAGTACCAGCAGCAGCCGTCTCCAACAGCCGAGCCTAATCCACCATATGTTATTCGCTCGCTCAGAAGAGGCTTTTCGCGGCTCAAGGCCTTGCACAGCAGGCGGTGACACACAGAAAACAAAAAGTCAACCATTAAACGCTCCACCTGGCACTTGTCGAGTCCACTTTTGATTCCACCACAGTGCAGGTCTCATGTTTTTCCCTCGTACGACGAACTCAGATTGTTTCCTGTCGCTGGACGTCTCCCTTTGGGCCGGACAGGTCTTGACTGTAGGAGTGTATTCTGTTTTCTTTCGTTTCCTTTCTTGGGACGTAATTTTTCAACTGTTACGATTCGGAGCCCAATGCTAGTCAGTTCTCCGTCGACGGCTCTCTTTGAACAGGAACTCCATAATCCGATGTCACTTGTCGTGCTTTGGAGCAGCCCGTGCATGGTTCTGTGTGACAACGAGGCTTGCAATACTTGCAACGGCCGTTTCCAATGCATGTAAGATATCAAACCACGCTCCCCTATCACCGTTTGTGTCCCGAGTGCCGCCCATCGGACAAGCCGTGACGAAAGATCCACTTTAATGAGTGCTACTCCGAAAGTGGTAATCTTCTAGAAACAGTCATCTTGTGCAATATACCCCTACCGTGTCCACTTCGGGAGAAATCGACAGAAGAAAAAGCAGCGAAAGGGCTGTCATTGTAAGATACACCACCCCTCGGCGCTTCCAGAAATTATGCAGTTCAGGCACTTCAAATCGTTTTACCTCATTTTCTGCGTATCCCTTCCCTCGGATTGAGAACCCCATTTCGTATGACAGGAAATGGGCTGAAAGTAGTTCCTTTTTTTCTTAGTACCTTTGTTCTTTTCTTTTCAGGCTTCTTGGCCCATTCTCTTCTTCGCTCCGTCTATCCTAGTTTGACCAATGCCGCTGCATCACGATATTAACCGTATCCCTCT